ACATCACACATTTGAAAACTACACGCCCGCCGACAAGTGATAGCTGTTTGATGCACGAACGACCGAAATTTAAGGATATGTCACGTAACGCACAACGAAACTATTACGAAGTAGCACACGAAGTTTGTGAGGTTTAAAGGCCAAACAACACTTTTTAGCTTGATATATCTCGAAAATAGGTATAATTTTCTTCAATTATTTTTATATTTTATTTCTCTTTTTTTAAGATGTTATTGTATTTCTTTTATTTACTTTCTATTCATTATTGGTCATTCCATTATTTGTTTGTTTTTTGTTTTATTATTAACCATGCGTTAGTGAGCTTGTTCGCAAAAGCTTATGTAGCGACCGACCGTCCTTTCGCTTTAACGACACAATTTGTACTGACTTAAGAATTTCACCTTTCATTGTGTTATGTAGTCGAATCCTACCACAACCATATGATAGGGCTTTAGGTTTGGTCCGCGTGTTTGATTGCGTTCGATTTCCTTTATTCAACTCATACTCATCAGATAGGTATACGAAGTAAATGTCCTTCGGCCATAAAAAACACGGTTCAAATATAGGCTAGCAATTTCACTCAATAATTGTGACACTCTCTCCCTGTCTCTCCTCTCTTTGGGACAAGCGGAGAGCTAAAGAGCAACTATGTGATAAAAAGAGAGCAAATAAAGCTCCCTCTTTGCGCATGTCTTGCATTTGTGTTTGTTGATAACACAGTAGTGGTCAAATATTATTTTGAGTTAAATTTAAAACATGTGATATTTTTTATTGCAGGGTGACACATAGTGACCACAAACGGAAAGTGATGTGGTGACTCAAAAATTTACAACATGACCTTTTATGGCAACCAATTTTGATTTGAAATTTAAACTTATACTTTTATTTTCCAGAGTACTTCAATTATTATTATGGTGCTTAGCTCTTTAATAAAGAAGTTAAAACAAGCAAAAAAGCTGTAAATTCGGCCAGGCCGAACATTGAATTTGGAACGAATTTAGGAAATTTAAAAAAAAAGAAAGAAATAAATAAAATCCGCTTAAAATTCCATTCTTTAACCAGTAAAGAAAGTCTTAAAGTCAGTCGGGGTCGGCTTTATGATACCCTACACCACTTTGCTAATTTAGTAGAGCTGCGCATAACAATTAAAAGTTTTTATGGGAGAATTCAATCATACACGCTATGATTAAATTATAATTCAAAGTTCAAAGGACTAAATATGCCGAAGCATTTGTATATTTTAAATTCGGACTTGTATTGCCCATTTGGTGCACAATTAATTTGAAATCGGATAAAGATATATATGGGAGCTATATCCAGATCTCGATAAAATTTGGCAAAGACATTTCTTAGCTGTATTTGATATATATCGTTGTTACGGAGTGCATATTACGGCTGTGGGTAACAAATATGACAAATCGGATGAACAGTATATATGGGAACTATAGCTATATCTGAACCGATCTTCACCAAATTTGACATACTAGCTTCTAGACTCAATTCGGTCGTAAGTGACAAAATTCATCCAATTTGGGCAAATATTAAACGTTTGGTGCACAATCCAAGGTAAATCGGACGAAGTTATATATAGGAGCTATATCCAAATCTGAACCGATCTCGATAAAATTTAGCATTTGTATTTCTGAGATGTATTTGATATATTTCCCCAAATATTCTTGTTACAGGGTGCATATTACGGCTGCGGAGGACAAAAATAACAAATCGGATGAACAACATATATGGGAGCTATAGCTATATCTGAACCGATTTCGATCAAATTTGGCATACTTATTTTCAGGTCCAATCTGATCGTACGTGCAAAACTCCATACTATTCGGACTGATATTACGCGTTTGGTGCACAATAAAAGGAAAATCGGACGAAGATATATATGGGAGCTATATCTAAATTTTGACCGATTATCTCCAATTTCAATAGGGTTCGTCCTTGGGCCAAACAAATGATTTGTGCAAAATTTCATCTGTATAGGGCAATAAATGCGAACTGTACTTTGTTTACAAAAATACATGGACAGACGGACGGACGGACATGCATAAATCGACTCAGAATGTGATTCTATGCAGATCATCAAAAGGAACTATGGGTCTATCTCGTTTTTTTTGCCTGTTACAAACAAATGCACAAAGACATAATACCCTGACCACCTTGTGGTGTAGGGTATAAAAATACCGAATGTAGCCGTATGCATACGATGACGACGTGGACCTGCATAGGCAACTTTTGTCACAAGCCTTTACAATATTCAAATGTGAAAATTAAAAAAAATCGGTGAATAATGTAGCTAATCATCAAAATACCGAATATAGGGAGTTACCATAGGGGCTATACCAAAACGTGGACCTGCACAGACAATTTTCTGTCACAGGCTATAGTGTCCATTACGAACTTTAAACACCAAATTTGAAACAATTCCGTTGAATAATGTCGCTAAAATCATGAAAATACCGAATATAGGGATACGAGGGCTACACGAAGACGTGGATCTGCACAGATAATTTTATGTTATAGGCTGCAATATCCATTACTTCAACTACCAAATTTGAAACAAATTCATTGAACAATGTCGCTAAAACCATCAAAATACCTACAATAGGGAGGTACCATTATATGGGGGCTATAGACCATTTTCAATATCAAAAGTCCTGCAGACATAATATACATTTGAGTAAAATTTTATCAATCTACTTCATTTCGTTCGGAAACTAGAGTGATTCCCACAGAAGGACGGACATCGCTAAATCGACATAGAATTTTATGCTGGTAAAGAATATATACAGGGTGAGATGAAAAAACTGCCACCAACTTCAGACTGATGTCATTTCCAAGCCACTCGTCCGACAGCTGTTAAAATTATTCAAGTGACAGCTCATTATATTGTTTTAATAAAAATATTTGGACAAGTAAAATTTAAAAAAAAATCATATTTTTCTTTCGCATTTAATGAGTTTTATGGTTATTCAAAAATGTTACCCGTTGTGGGGGAGGTACCAGAAGGAGTATTCTGACATATACCATCTTAACACATGATCTTGTGTTAATAGAAATATTCGGATGTGCCGAGTTTGAAAATAATCGGATACTCATTTCGCGGTTTATGATCTTCATTGTTATTCAAAATGTTGACCTCTTTGTGGAGGAAGTACCGGATCGATATCTACCATTTCCACACCAGATCTATGTTTAGTAAAAATGAGTTGTGTGAAATCTGAACAGAGATACACTATGCTGTGGACCCATATTGTCCATTTTCACATCTAACATAGCACTGATACAAATATAAGGATTTTCAAAGTTTGCACAAAATTGGATGATCTTATCATGTTCCACACGGCAAATTATTTTCTGTGAAAATTTTGACCTTTTGTGGAGGAGGTACCAGAAGCAGTGGGCCGATATTGCCCATTTCCGAATTCGATCTAAATTTGACAATTATATTACGATTTGGATCAAATCGGATACTCCCTTCGAGCGTTATTATGCGCACCAGCCAGACAGACAGACGGACGGACATCCCTAGATCGACTCCAAATGTCCTGAAATGGATTTGGTCCCAAGAAATCTAGGGTCTAAATCCGCTATTTCAATGAGGCCCATTTTCGCCCTATCAAATGATATATACCCTCCATAGCCATATGGCTGAAAATATAAAATGAGGCAGAAAATCAAAATCCAATTGATATCTACCGTAACGGTTATGGCTATGGCTTAATGGTATGTCGCAAATAAGACAACTTATGGAGCTCAAAAATACATCTTTCAAATTTTATCGAGATTGGTTCAGATTTAGATATAGCTTCCATATATATCCTTAATCCGATTTCAGGTTTAGTGTGCAAATAATAGCTAATATCAGCCTTAATGGATTGAATTCTGGCACATCCGACTTCCGAATTCAGTCTAGAAGCAAGTAAATAAAATTTGGTGAAAATCGGTTTAGATATAGCTATAGCTCCCCTATATATGTTTCATCCGATTTGGGGTCTTAAGTCCCTCATATGCGTAATATGCACTCCACAACAATTTTTACATTTTTTTTTTAATTTTATTGAATGAAAGCAAAAAATGTCGGATATAGCATCAAATTTTAGAATAAGTATAGATTTGTTCGAATTGGTAACCTTTGGCACGAATTATGGCCTTCAAACGGCCAATGAAACCGTCACAAGCTGCCCAAATGTTGATCTGCGGAATTTTGGTCCATTTCCGGCGATGCGCTTGCTTGAAGTGATCGACACTTTGGTATTTTTTAGTGCCAACCTTGCTTTATAAAATACTCCAGACACAATAGTCCAATGGATTGGTATCCGGAGATTTTGGTGGCCATTGTGCGTTGGAAATGAAGGGAGGAACCTCATTTTGTAACTATTCTTGGGTGGCGCGTGCTGAGTGCGATGGTGCTGAGTCCTGTTGGAATGTGAAGGTGCCCAAGGCTTTAAAACACAATCCAGAATATTTTCGCGATAATATTCGGCATTTATTCTGATGCCACGGCCGATTAATATGAGTGGTGACCGACCTTAGGCTGTTATAGCGGCCCACACCATCAACACGACCGGCGCGTGAGTTCTGGTGGTCAACCTAAGGTGCATATTTTCAGCTGACCTCTTTGGCAAGTAAGCACGTTAATTTTGTTTGTTTACAAACTGCTGGACAACGAATATTTTCTCATCGGAGAAAACCAAATTCGGTAGTTCACCACTTTCGGCCAAGCTAAGCAACTCTTTAGCTCTTTTGAGTCTATTTTCTTTCTGTTGCGGTGTAAGTTCTTGCACTTTATGGAATTTCAATTGCTTTTTTTGTTCCCTCTGAAACCAAATTATGACTGCTCTAAAGCCACTGGTTGATAGGTGGTGTGATCTACTTCTAAAAATTCCCAATATAAATTAAATTACATTATTAAATTAAATTACGGGAGCCCCGCCCGACTTTTGGCTTTTACTTACTACTTTTTTTATCCCAAAAATTAAAACACAATAACACAACGTTATCTAAGAATAGAATTTATTAGAGGTTCAAAGCCAAACTTAAATGCTTAAATAGAAGTTCGTTAGTACTAAAGGTATGTATCTTAACAACGTATTTTTAGAATAACACAATAAAATCTATTGGTACATATGATTGTTAATTCATTGTGTATTTCTATGTTATTCACACACAAATACATGTATAGTCAGGTATAGCTGAATTGCACAGCTTCAAAGTGTTTAACACTCAATATCACTGACAGAGTTTTCACTTATCCTTTAGTTAAATAACTTAATTGTCATTATTAAATTAAAGTTAATAATAGAAAAAAAAAAAAAAAAAACAATTTTGTGTGAAACAACTACTTATAACAATTCTCTAAGAAATGTATACATGTGTGTATGTATGCATGTATTTAATGATTTTTAACACAATTCTTTTATTTATTCTTTTTTTTCATATTGTCAACAGTCATACAGGATTAAAAAAATACATTCTCAGATGTATAAATTGATTTTGTTTTCATCTTTGTTTAATTTTTATAGCATCTACCATACAATGGAGGGTATTTTAAGTTTGCCATTCCCTTTATAATTCCTCGAAATGAGAATTTTAGTAAAGTATAATTCGCGATCAGCATAAGATTTTACTTCGTCTGTGAACATCATTCTAGCTTCCGATCGGAATGAAGTAGATTGATAAAATTTTACTCAGATGTCTCTCAGGTTAGTTTAATATTAGGTATTAAAAATTGACCGTAATTGACCGCAGGTACACGTTGTTGTATAGGACGGTAGCGATCGATTTAAGGTGTTTTGGGTTTTTGGTCAAAGTTGTAAACCGAATGTATTGAAAATTGGTACATTGGTATTCCTATATCCTTGCAAAGAGCTTTCCTTATAATTCCATGTTTGGGTATAGGTCCCCGAATACTAATATCTTGCGTTTAGGAAAGATCTGGGCTTCTGATGTCTTCTTGTAGAATATCTTTGTAGAATATTTTGACTTTTTGTGATGCCGTTTAAAGGGAGTTTTTAACCATATTTAAAATAGGACCTCTTTGTTGACACGTCTCTGGCTTAAAATTTTCTAGCAAAATAATCCTCGTGATGTAACATTTCAAAACTCTGATACACGAGTCCTGTATTTTTATACTCTCCACCATACTATGGAGGGTATATTAACTTTGTCGTTCCGTTTGTAACTCTTCGAAATACTCATATTAGACCCAACAAAGTATATATATTCTTGATCAGAGTAAAATTCTAAGTCGATTTAGCGATGTCCGTCTGTCTGTCTGTCTGTCTGTCCGTTTGTCTGTCTGTTGTAATTACGCTATCTTTCGAATGAATTGAGATAGATGGCTAAAATTTTGCACACATGTTTATTTTTCCAGTAGGCAGGTTAAGTTCGTAAATGGGCCATGTAGGTCCACGTTTTCATATAGCCCCCATATAACGGTACCTCCCTATATTCGGTATTTTGATGATTTTAGTGACATTATTCACGGGAATTATTTCAAATTTGGCATTTGAAGTTCAAAGTGGATACTACACCCTAAGACGGAAAATTGTCTGTGCAGGTCCACGTCTTCGTATAGCCCCCATATAACGGTACCTCCCGATATTCGGTATTTTGATGATTTTAGCGACGTTATTCACGGGAATTGTTTCAAATTTGGTATTTGAAGTTCAAAATGGATACTACACCCTAAGACAGAAAATTTTCTGTGCAGGTCCACGTCTTAGTATAGCCCCCATATAACGGTACCTCCCTATATTCGGTATTTTGATGATTTTAGCAACATTATTCACCGGAATTGTTTCAAAATTGGTATTTGAAGTTCGTTATGGGAACTACAGTCTGTGACAGAAAATTGTCTGTGCGGGTCCAGGTCTTCGTATAGCCCCCAGATAACGGTACCTCCCGATATTCGGTATTTTGATGATTTTAGCGACGTTATTCACGGGAATTGTTTCAAATTTGGTATTTGAAGTTCAAAATGGATACTACACCCTAAGACAGAAAATTTTCTGTGCAGGTCCACGTCTTAGTATAGCCCCCATATAACGGTACCTCCCTATATTCGGTATTTTGATGATTTTAGCAACATTATTCACCGGAATTGTTTCAAATTTGGTATTTGAAGTTCGTTATGGGAACTACAGTCTGTGACAGAAAATTGTCTGTGCGGGTCCAGGTCTTCGTATAGGCCCCATATATCAGTACCTCCCTATATTCGGTATTTTGACGATTTTAGGTACAATACCCACCGAAATTGTTTGAGATGTGGTATTGGAAGTTCGTAATGGATGCTACAGCCTGTTACAGAAAATTGCTATGCTGGTCCAGGTCTTCGCACAGCTCCGATATAACGGCACCTCATTATATACGATATTTTGATGATTTTAGCTACATTATTCACTGTTTATTTCAAGTTTCGAATTTGAATATGGTAATGGCTTATGACAAACAATGCCTATGTATGTCCACGTCGTATAGACCCCAATATAACGGCTATATTCGGTATTTTTAAAATTTTAACAGAATTTTTTAAGGATTTTATTTTTTAAAAATTTCCAAATTCGTTGCAAATGGTGGAGGGTATTAAAAATTCGGCCCGGCCGAACTTACTGCTTTTTAACTTGTTAGTTCTACTTTCATTATCTGCTGTGTTACACAGTGTTATATATACCGCATAACGTTCGACCTTTAACTTCATTTTTCAAAGCAATTTTAACCCAAGTTTTATTAAGTACTTTTTTTTTTTTTTTGAAATTTAGTATTGGAAATTCGTAATAACAGAAATATTATATAACGCTTAAATACCAGATCTAAGCACTTGAAGACATGTGTTGTGGCTGGACCGAACTTTTAACATCAATATCAAAAAAAAAAATCGTCGAAAAATACATTTTTTTTCATAGGCTGTAGTACCCATTAGGACCCCTAAATACGAAATTTGAAACAATTCCGGTGAATAGTGTCTCTAAAATCATCAAAATACCGAATGTCGGGAGGTATCGTTATATGATGGCTATACGAAGACGTGGACCTGTACACGCAAATTTTTGTCATGGGCTGTAGTACCCATTAAGACATTCAAATACGAAATGTAAAACAATTCCGGTCTATAATGTATCTAATACCATAAAAGTACCGAATTTTGGGAGGAAGTGTTATATAGGGGCTATATGAATATGGACATATAAAACTCATATGTTGCAATACCCTTAAAATCTTCCAATACGACATTTAAAACAATTCCGGTCTATAATAACGCTGAAATCATCAATATACCGAATATTGAGAGGTACCGTTAAAGGGGGCTATACGAAAACGTGGAACGATATGACCCATTTACGAACTTAACCTGCTTACTGACAAACAACACATGTGTGCAAAATTTTAGCCTTCTATATCAATTCGTTCGAAATATAGCGTGATAACAACAGAGAGAGGCAGATGAACAAATAAATAAATAAATAGACAGACGCATAGCGCTAATTTGCTTAGAATTTTATACTGGTCAAGGATATATATAATTTGTTGGGTCTGACATGAATATTTCGAGGAGTTACAACCGGATTGACGAAATTAATATACTTTCCATAGTATGATGGAGGAAATGACAGTTAAATGGGCTGTACGATAGCCTCTACAGCCAATTATCTGCCAGAGAAGGGTTGCGCATAGTACGAATTGAGATAATTCTATTGAAAAATGTAGCTAAAATCAACAAAGTATCGAATATTGAGCCTTACCTGTATATGGCTATAGGGCTATACGAAAATATGGACCTTTAAGTTGTTTTTTCTGTTATAAAAGGAAGTACCTATGGCGAACTGTAAATACCAAATTTAAAACAGTTCCGGTGAAAAGTGTGACGCATATCACCCAAACACCGAATATCTGGAGGTGCTGTTATATGGGGACTATAACAAATCATAAAACCAATATAGACAGTTCTATGCAAGGACGTTCCCTGTATACTGGGAAAACAAACTGACAATTTACAGCAAAAACAATAAAAAAACATCTTAAATCTTTTTTCGATACCAAAAATTCTACGGACTAACTTCATTACGTTCGAAAGCTAGAGTGATTCCCACAGACGGACGGGCATGGCTAAATTGACATAGATTTTTATGCTGATCAAGAATATATATACATAAGAATACATAACGGAATGACAAACTTTATATACCCTCCATACCTTGGCGAGGCGGTAAAACAATCGAAATATACCTAAAACGTGGATCTATATTGATCATTATCTTCTTGAAATCTGTAAATTTCGTTGATAACTGAAGTCATCTTTCAAATCGACCTGACGTCAAACAATATATGTCTGCTTTATCCTAACTTGTAAGAGGGACGGACAGGCAGACTTAATCATCTGCCTAATATATGCCAATAGAATCAAGAAATTTCAAGTTTTTGCAAAAAGAAGTGAAAACAAGTTCTTCCGATCGAAAATTTTTCCTTGATCTGAAACAAATATTTCCCAAAAAAAACTAAAACTGCATTTAATATACAGGTTGAGATGAAAAATAGCAACCAACTTCAGACTGCTGTCATTTCTAAGCCACTCGTCCGACAGCTGTTAAAATTATTCCAGTAACAGTTCATTGTATTTCTACGCTTGTAGAAAAGTAATTTGGTGAGAAATTTCCACAAAAAAAGTTATTCGTGATGGAATTCAAGCGTGAAAACTACAAGTGGCTATCGTTAGAGCACTCCAACATTTGAATGTGTATAAATCATTTGTGTCTCGTACCACAGCTCTTTACCGTGATACGAAGCGTAGCCCGACGTCAAGGAAATGGACGGAAGAAAACAGTAACATCAGCAGAAATGTTTCGAAAGGAAAGAAACGACTTGATCAAAACCCGAGTCGCAGTGGCCGAAAATGGCTCGTGAGCTGAACATATCACAATATCCCATTCGGCAAATAATAAAAAAAGAGCTCGGGGTAAAGTCATTGAAATTCCCAAAAGTGCAAGAACTTACACCGTAATGGAAAAAAAAGACTCAAAAGAGCTAAAGAGTTGCTTTGCTTGGCCGAAAGTGGTGAACTGCCAAATTTGCTTTTTTCCGATGTAAGTTTGTAAATCAACAAAATGAGCGTGTTTACTTGCCAAAGAGGTCAGCTGAAAATGTGCAACTTCGGTTGGCCACCAGAACTCAACAGCCGATGGTAGCTCGCCGCTCGTATTTATCGACCGTGGCATCAGAATATATGCCGAATATTATCAATGGAAGGTGTATTAAAGCCTTGGGCACGCAAACATTTTGGCCGCAGACTTTCGACATTCCAACAGGACTCAGCACCATCGCACTCAGCACGCGCCACCCAAGAATGGTTACAAAATGAGTTCCTCGCTTCATTTCCAGCGCACAATGGCCACCAAAATCTCCGGATACCAATCCGTTGGACTATTGTGTCTGAAGTATTTTGGAAAGCAAGGTTGGCACTAAAAAATACCAAAGTGTCGATCACCTCAAGCAAGCGCTTCGCCGGAAATGGGACAAAATACCGCAGAACAACATTCGGGCAACGTGTGACGATTTCATTGGCCGTTTGAAGGCCATTATTCGTGCCAAAGGTGACCAATTCGAACAAATCTAAACTTATTCTAAAATTTTGATGCTATTTCCGATATTTTTTCTTTCATTCAATAAAATTAAAAAAAATAAAAATTTTGACTTTGTTGCAGTTTTTTATCTCACCCTGTAATATAATTCATTTATGAATATAACGTATAGATTGTATCAATATTATACAATATATGTATGCAATTTTCCTCGTATGACTGTGATCAGTTTATCTATAATAAGTCAATCAAAAAAGCTTTTCAGTTAGCCATACATATTACTTAGGACTACTAGTGAGACTTAGTTTAAAATGATTAAGGAGGTAGTAGAAAAAATATAGTTGGATTATTTACTGTAAAATTTAATAATTTACACGAATATTACATGTGTATGTATTTGTGTAGTGTGAGATCTTGGCACCTCTTGCAATTTTCAAAAATATATATCTATTTATTTCAGTCGAATCCACTTTAAATTCATATCCACTAACCAGCAAGAAATTGATACCCTCGTCGAACCGTGAAAAGAAACAAGTTGGTCTGATAGGACAAGTATGAAAATAGACAATATCGCGGCTTGTTTTGCTATAATACTGGTAGAAGATTGTTATCTCGAATTTTCAGTGGAATTGGCCTTAATTTCATTGCAGAAAGTATAAATATATATATTGGATCCGAGTTCCACAAAATGGAAACGTACGTCCCGAAATTCACTCCTGAAATCGAATTAAGGATATATATGGGAGCTATATCCAAATCTTAACACTCCTCGATAAAATTTGATTCGGATGAAAAAATATATTTGAAAGCTATAGCTATACCTGGACCGATTTTCTCCAAATTGTACTTCTAGACTGAATTCGGTCAGATGTAACAAAATTCAGGACTTTTGGACTGTTATTGGCCATTTGGTGCACAATTAATCCGAAATCGGTAAGAGATATATATGGGAGCTATATCCAAATCTGAACCGATCTTAATAAAATTTGGCAGAGGTATTTCTGGGCTGTATCTGATATTTGGTACCAAACATCATTTTTGTCGAATGTATATAACGAATGTGAGGGACATAAACACCAAATCGGTGTAGCGATTTTCACAAAATTTAATGTAATGCTTCTGAATTCTGTCGAATGTGCCAAAATCCAGGTCATTTTTGTTTGCCTTCCATCATAAAATTTTGTCGGAGACTCCATCGAGTGTATGTAAATATTCTTGGTCACCATAAAAAGTGTCCGTCGGTCTGCTTAATCAATGTAAAGTCCATATTATTTCACTGGTATTGATTTTTGGTGTTTTATTTAGGTTCGACTTTAGGTATTTTGAAGTTTTTAGCCACAGCTCCAACTGGAAAAGCTGTAATTCGTCAATTATTATCACCCAATTTCGTCAATTTGTATCACCCATATAGATGCCGAATTTCCTATAGACCCCATGTAACAATCCTTCCAGATTTTCGGCGTTTTGAAACTACAATTTCAAACCAAATTGGCTAGAACTGGATATTTCGTGTTTTCTGCTCACAAAAAAAAAAAAAAAACTGTTTAATAAGGTTCACAATTTTGAGCAGCACCCATATTAAGGTACCTATTTATTTGCGATATTTTGAAGGATTCCGCCTAAATTGTGTAACCGGTGTTTTAAGGATCCTGGTCAAATATTTTTACAAAAATTATTCATTGTATGCCCTTATAATTGTAGACATCCTCAAGTATGGGTATTTTTAAGATTTTCAACTTAATTACCTAAAATAAAGGATCTTGTCATATAGCCAAGCCCAGATTTTACGTAATTTAAAATTTCATAGTAATTTATGTATTCACAGAATGAAGGGTATAAAAAGTTGGATCGGACGAACTTAACGTCCTTTTTATTCCTTAGGATTTTAATTCTGACAAAAAATTGACTAAACATCTGTCGAATCTGCAGTTCTACTCTTCACAGAAATGAAGATAAAACATAATTGAAATAGGAGAACTAAAAATTATTGTACTGGGTACCAAGATTCAATTCGAGATTCGAGTGCTGGCATTATAATTTATCTAGGGGTTACACATTTGTCAATTCGTTGATATTGCATGCAAATTCAATACTTATGCTAAGATATATGTCTATTGTAAATATTTAAGTATGTTCTGTTCATGTATATACTACTCTCTGTAAAGAATGTATATTTTTCTTAAAATAGTTTCTCATTTTGTTGTCTTGTTTTTGTTTTGTATTGTATCCCAACCTGATATTTAAGTACACAATCACATAGAAGGCTTTAGCAGCAAATTTGAACATTTAATATGCACGGCGATTTCTTTGTCTGTCTCAAGTGTTTGATATTCTTTTCGTATTTTGTATTTTTATTTTATTTAATCTTTTTTATTAAGTACTGTTTGCGACTATTATTTTTTTACATATATATAACAAATAAATAGGAATTTATACATAGAGGAAACAAAAACCTAAATACAAAACATAAACGATTTACAGTAAGTACGTATTTATGTGAAAATTTACAATGGTTGCTCGTTATGCTTTAAAGATATTAAAATTATTTCTTATAATTTTACATACATAGATTTAATACTTTTAGTAATAAAGCTCACAAAGTTTAATTTTTTTAAGTTATTTTTTTACTTTTCTTTTGAAGTTTACATTTGTAATAACAAGATTTATTAATATATTTTAGTTATTTCTTTTGTTTTGAATTTAGGGGTGCTAATTTTACAGTTTTAAAAAGATTTAAGTATGTGTGTGTGTGTGTATTTTGTGTGAATAATTAAAATTTGTTTATCTATATTTAGTACATGCTAACAGATGTAAGTACTTAATTACATTTAGGCTAAAACATGTTGCAATTGCAACCAGTATTTCACATACTCGTAGAGTTTCATTCTAATAGTTTTCTCGAGAATTTAACAATAAATTATTTATTTTGTAATTTCTTTTGTTTGTTTTCTTTTATTTTCTCTTAAAGTGTTTGTCGAAATTACCAACAATAACAACAAAATTTGTGCATTTTTCTAGTTCTAGTCGAAGGGATTTATGAGGAGTTTTAACAATAAAATATATCTATGCTGGAATGGTTGCCTCTTCATAGAAATCGGGTTCATCTTCATCGGCCTGGGCTTCACTTCCATCCAGCTGAAATAAAAAATAAGGGATAAATGAGAATTCAAACAAACAAATAAAACTTTAAATTTATTTAATCTATAAATATTAGGTAATTTATAAATTGGTTCCTTCAGGCTGCCATTTCGCAAAAATCATCAATGTTACTTATTTCCGAATATATCTTATGTAATCCTCCAAATTTAACATAGGTATTTCTGTCACGTATGTGATCTCTCATATCGAATGCTATTGCTGTAGAATGTATATTATGGGGACCCTTAAAATAGGAGTATTCCACCATTTGATTAACCTCATATTACAGAGAGCAATGATCTAAACAAAGTATGATCTGGTAGTTGCAATTTTTTTATGAAAAGAGAGCATAATTCTCATTGACTTGAGAATACCCGATACTTTAAAAGTTTGTTTTCGACCAAGTGTCCTTTATCTTCGCCCTTAAGTAGTAGTAGTAGTAGTAAAAAACTTCTTTATTGAATAAATATTTTCAAATACAGTATGACATTAATAGATATTAAGAAGTTGATATTGGGATTGCGACAATGTTTTTAAAACGTCTGTCGCCTAGTTTAATAAATTCAAAGTTTTTCTTTTTTAGATAAAAGTGTTTAGTTAAATTCATTTATCAAAAGCTGCCTGTATTTATAGCTGACTTCAATGTAGTTTGTTAAGTCATTCCAGCCACTTTCTTCTTCGCCATTGAGTATCTTGATTATTTCCTCTTCATCAAGCGTTGGCTTTCTGAATGATCTCATTCTGAATTCTCGTAATACGGGACAAATTCCTAGAAAGTGCTGCATCGTTTCTACTTCCCGCATATTACAAAGCTTGCATTCTCTATTTCGGTCTCCTTGGTCAAATCTGTTGTATTCCAGAGGTATCATACCGCTACGCGCTTTAAAGATGCAAATGATTTTCTCTTCAGAGTACTTATCATTTAAATAGAGATGGCCAATATTTGTTTTTAGATGTCTATAAATTCGTTGACTCTGGCTATTTTCTTTTTTTCTTTCCCTTAAGTAATCAACTGATTGAATCTTCAACAATAACAAACAAACAAAAACCTCTAAAACGGATCAGACATATTTCGGAACTATTGCTACAGCTAAACCTATATGGTCCAAACTTGGCAGAGTTTATTCCAGTCGCTCTTGATTGCATGACGGAACATTTATTTTATTTTAAAAAATGCGCCATGATGAATCATTAAATATATTTGGAGGGAAATTAATATGGGAACTGTAATAAATCTGAAACGAATAATTCGGCATAATCGATTAAGTCAACCCTCCTGCTTTTAAAAATAAGAGTGGAAAAGCAGTTAAGTTCGGCCGGGTCAAACTTTTTGTACCCTCCATCAATTGGAAAGAACATGAAAAATGTTAAAAATAATCCACTATAATTTTAAAAATTCCGAATATCAGGTGTTACAGATATATGGGGCTATATGAAAATGCGAGAAAAGCTGGCGGCTATTACGACTTCCAACACTGAGTGATAGTTCTGTTGAAAAAACATAACTAAAATCATCAAAATATACGAAGGTGGTGCCTATTTCGACTACAAATACCAAATTTGAGATATTTTGGTTAAAAATATAGCTAAAATTCTTAAAATAGCGAATTTTTATGAGATATCGTTATATGGGGCCTATGCGAAGTTGTAGACCTATATGAGCAATCTTCTGTCACAGTATGTAGTATCTATTACGAACCCTAAATACCAAATTTGAAACAATTCTGGTTAAAAGTGTGACACAATTCATCAAAATACTGAATATCGGGAGATACAGTTATATGGGGACTATTACAAAACATGGACCTTAGAAACAGTTCTATGCAAAAAATTTGCCTTCATGCCGGGAAATTAGGGTTATATTGTGACTAAAACAATCAAAACACTTTAAATCTGGGGTTATACCAAAACGTGGACCTGCTTGCCCCATTTTCAATACGAAAGGCCCTGCAGACATAAAACACATGTAAATAAAATCAACATACTTCATTTCGGATGGACAGAAAGGCAGAGGGGGACATCGCTAAATTTATATTTCGAGGCGTTACAACGGAATGGCAAACTTAATATACCCTCCATACTATGGTGGTGGGTATAAAAAGGTATCGATGTACCGCAAAAGCCTGGTGGAGAAAAACAGCAGAAGAAAGAGGCGGGTGTATTATATAAGCAACAAATCCCCTGCCAATCCCAAAACAAAGTATACTTGATTTCTTTTCTTTAACTCGCAGGAGTGAAACTCACAAGTAAAAAGCAGTTAAGTTCGGCCGGGTTGAACTTTAATACCCACAATAATAAGAGTTACATACCAATAAAATGTCCAATAGTTACGAAAGGGTTCTTAGGGTATACGTCACATAACTGTGGTACAAGGTATTATGTCCTTGTGCATTTGTGTGTAGCCTACCAAAGGAAACGAGAGAGAATCCTTTTTACTTTTTAAGGATCTCCATAGAATCACATTCTGAGTCGATTTATACATGTCCATCCGTCTGTCCATGTATTTTTGTGAACAAAATACAGGTCGCATTTATTTTCGGATTGAGATGAATTTTTTCACAAAGCATTTGTATGGCTCAAAGAAGAACCATATTGAAATTGACGATAATCGGTTGAAATTTATGTATAGCTCCCATATATATTTACGTCGGATTTCAATATTATTATGCATCTAATGGGTAATATTAGCCCAAACAAGATAAAATTTGGCACATGCTACAGCCTAGATAGCCTATATGTTTCATCCGATTTAATATTTAAATCGACCAAACACGAAATATGCACTCTGTAACAATTATTTCCGATAGCAAGATATCAGATACAAATTAGAAATACCTATACCAAACCCTGTCGATATCGGTTCAGATTAGGATTTAACCCCACAAATATCTTCATCCTATTTATTTATCAGCTCACATTGTGAGAGACTTTGTCACATACGACCGAGTTTAGTGTAGAAGAAAGTATGTGTCTCATACATTCTAGAGCGATGATTTACATTCATCATAAAACCACCTCCTTTAAATTTTGTGGAAATATATTAAGACTAGAAAGTGCCTGCTAATTCGTCAGCGAAAAAAACCACCTTAAAATTTTAGATTCGTTCCAACAGTTCGTATTGGACCAAAAAGAATAATAGGAAAATGTTTACCTTTTACAGCTTTCATTTTGAAGTGTACTGAAGAGGATATTAGTAAAACCATTGCATAATGGAGCTACATCCAACTTTTCTGTCCAAAACTATTTCAAAGTCTCCATATGTAAACCCTACATACCAACAGTGACCTCAATATCAAAATTAAGGATTTCAGCTTCATTCCTTATACCAATACCAAATTTAGTACTATTTAGCACTTTTCGTATAATAATAGCACACATTTCGAAAACCACCTCCATATATCCAGGCTACACATGAATACCAACTTTTACCAAATTTCAAGCACTATCTGTTCAGTCAATACCAAATTGTACCACATTAAGTAATATTTAGTACTTTTCGTACACTTATAGTACACAGTTTCAAATCCACCTTCTTATCACAAACCTACTTCTAACAGGGACCCCAATACAAAATTTCAAAATATCAGCTCCATCCGTTCACCCAAACCAAACAGTTCCAAATTTAGTACCACTTAGTACAGTTCGCACACTTAGTAAACATTTCCAAAACCATATTCATATATCGAATGTACTTTTCAGCCTTGATTCTCTTACCAAATTTGTAGCTCCATCCTTTCACAAAAATACCTAATGGTACCGTTTTAGTTGATGAGCATCATTTAACTACTTTTCGTACCCTTTTGGTACGAATTTTCAAAAACTCTCCTTTACTAGTTTTGGTTTCTTTGTCTATATATTCATAAGTATATTGAAATTCAAAGACATTTATACCTATCATTTATGACTTCAGTGTAAACAGCTATGTAGGAAATATTTTTTTATAAAACTTTCACAATTTTCTTAACTTACCGCTGCAATTTCATGAGGCTTATACATTGCTGCTAATTTCATACGAATCGGTACCATCATTACCAAAAAGAAGGGGAACGCCAACGATATCTTTGAGGATTTCACAGCCCACAGTACAGCCAGACATAAAACTTGTATGGTCGTAAACAGGTGCATTTTCCAGGTAGGAACTTTCTTAACGTACGGCGTTGGCGGATAATGTTTTACGGGCATAAAGAACAATCTCACTCTGAAAAAGCAAAAAAAAAAAATACACCAGTTTAGAAATGTGTGCAACAACAACTTTTAAAAACAGTTAACTTTTTAACTCTAATTTCATAATCTGAAAAATTTTCCACTCAATTATTGCCAAAAAATTAATTTTGTCGTACAGAGTTTTTTAAAGAAAAAAATATTCAACACCCTCTAAATTTGCAGTTTATTTAAAGAAAATCGTGCATTTTTCAAAAACTTCCTCAGGACAAATCATGATATTTTTAAGATTTTATTAGAATTGCCAACAAAATATCAAGGTTCTGGTGGTTTTTTAAACGTCCTTCAATGAAAAAAAAATATTTTATGTTTGTAAAAAATACAAAAAAAAAAAAACGATAAAATATTCTCTCGGCAAAATATTAAAAGCTTTCGGCATTAAGTAACTTCAATTCGTAGAAACCTCAATATTCGTTACTCACCTATCAAAGAACTGGACACCACTCATCGAAGCAACGCCCATATACAGGAACACACCAAACAGCACAGCCATAGGAATGAGACGCAACAAGGGTGCCATGGTAACAGACAAACCAATCATCAGGGATACAAAGAAGCCAGATAGCCGTTGCTCTTTGACATCAATAATTCTCGGAGATTCACCGGGAGCATGGGTTCTGCAAATTGATGGAATGTAATTTATTGCTTGAACACATAGATGCAACATATTTGGTTTTCTCCCAACTTACCTCGACATGATAGTAAGGGCAGAGACATGAGCCACCGAACGCACAGTTGCAGCACAGTGCCATGGCATGCCAAAGAATCCGCAAAGCATATTCAGACAACACAGAAGGACAATGTCAAAATGCAGACCAGATCCTTTCTTTAATCCTCTTTCTGGTTTATCAACAATCAATTCGGATATGTGTGATTCCATGAAAATGAGAATGTATACTAAGAGGGCGGGAATGCCGGCCATGAATGGCAACCAGGTTTCAACGGGCCCCAAACTCACCAGCCAACCGCGATTAACAGGATCACTGGGTGAAATGCCCTCGGGTACACTTAACTTCTCGGTGTAGACTTGAGGAATGAAATAGTCAACCATAACAAATATCGTTATTGAAATTGGTACACCAAAATCACCCAGGGCACGACGGGCATTACGTCCCAAAAAGTGTGAGTTACGGAACAGCTTTAGATAGTAGGCCACTGTAAAGGTGCCCAATGTTAGGATGGTACAAAATAGCGCCGTATTGGGCATATTCAAGGGAGAAAGGGATCCATAATCCACAGTTGTGTTGGCATTCGTTGTTAAATTTGCTCCTTCCAAGCTGGATGAATCTTCCAAACCCAAGACGGTTTCATTGCCCCTATCCAAGGGAGAAGAACCGACCATTGTTGGAGGTGGTAAATTATAATCAGCCAGGAGGGGATGTTTCTTATACACCGATACAAGTTTCATAATGGTCTCCACAATATAAATCAGCGTTATAAGAGCCGAGAATATTTCCTGTGTGAAACGAGTCAGGAGACGGACATAAACGCTTCCCTCGAATGCCGAGACCAAAATTGAGATAACTGCCAACCATATGCCAATATAGGCTCGTATGGTTAAAAAGCTTATACCATTTTCCTTACAAAAGTTATTCAAAGCCTCATCGAACAGCAATAGCGGTCCCGTTGTTCCAATAATTACCAAAGGTTGACCAGCCAGCGAGTGGAAAATAACACCTACCACGGATGCGCTCAACAGCGTCTCTGATATACCAATCAAATTGTGGGTTTTGTCCGAAGCCAAACCACCAAAGGTAATGGCCGTAGAGAGGCAAGCAAAATACATGAAAATCGTTGCGGCCAAAGTTTCAGTGTTCAGACCATCCAGAATATCACTGCGATACATGGGCAAGCGACGCTTCAGATCGTTGCGTAGACCACCCCACAAGCGATGTGTTTTCTCCAAGGGACTTGGCTTTTTCTTTTCATCATCATCGTCGTCATCCGGTTTCTTCTCGACCAAAGCACTTATTAGATCAGTGCCAATGTTATTGATCTGCTTCTCTTTTTGCTCTTTCTTGTTCTGGAGAGCCTTGGTCTTACGCGAACGAATCCAGTCTTTCTTGGCTTTCAGCTCTTCGAATGGCAACAAGTCATGACGGTCCCAATTACCCGGTGGCAAAACAATCGAATCATCCAAGAATTCATTTATGGCCGAGAGTAAATCTTTTCTATCATCGGCCGTATAGGCAATGCCATGGAATGATTCGTTGGCCATGAGAGTGGCAATGGCACGACCCACTTCATGATAATCCAAGTCATAATTGGGTGGTCCCAACAAAATGAACATGAAACGAACGGGTATGGGTACCTCGGTTAGACTTGGCATTGGAACACCTTCCGCCAAACGCAGGAAGGCAATGGTTGGTTGTTCCAAGAAATCAACAGCACCCACCTACAACAAAAATTCATCAAATTAAAATTCCGCTCACTAAATACTATGGACTTTAAAAGTCATTTGAAATACATACCAAGACCGTTGTGGCTTCTGCTCCCTGAGGAATCCTCTTGAGGATGGTATCATTTTGCAGTTTCTTAAGATCTTCCTGTGACGATGAGTACATATCGTCCTTCATATCAATTTTCAAATCATTGCTTTTCTTGCTGCCTCCAATTTCTAGGGCGGGCATAATTTTAATTTTCTTATCATCACCGGAAAGATTCTGCACAGAAAGAATTTTAAAAAGAAAATATGGATAGTATTAGTAAACTACCAGCACATCGAGGGTAAAGAGTGGGAGAGAGGGAGAGAGAAAAAAAGGACACAACAGGTTAAAATTAGAAATCAAACAGAAGAATCATGCAGCAATAACAACAAAAAAGCAAAAGTATACAGCAGAGTGTTTTGGTAATAATGAAAAATAAAATATTACAATAAAAACAAAATTGGGTAAATAAATTGAAAAGAAAATGGTCTCTAAATAGAACAGGTTTTGGGGGCTGGTTTCGACACTACAGCTTTTTAGAGGGGGTTTCCAAAAACATTTGGATAGAAAATATTTTGGGAATTCTTTTGGCGACAAAAGATATTTTTATGGTCTTCTATAGGTGTACAATTTTTTGGTGCTTTTCTTCAGATAATGGTTTCTTAATATTATTGTCAAACTTAGAACGAGTTCGGAGATGGGCAAAATCGGTTCACTCCTCCACAAAATGTCTAAATTTTCACAGAAAATAATTTACCGCATAGAACATGATGGGACTATCCAATTTTGTGCAAATTTTGTAAATCCCTATATTTGTATCGGTACTATGTTAGATGTGAAAATGGACAAGATCGGTCCACTCCATGGTGTAGCTCTCTTCAGATGGCACACAACTCAATATTGGTACTAAACATAGATCTGCTGTGGAAATGGTAGATATCGATCTCCTCCTTCTGGTACTTCCTTCACAAAGAGGTCAACATTTTGAATAACCTTGAAGCTCATAAACCGCGAAATGAGCATCCGATTATTTTCAAACTCGACAAAAAAAAAACTCAAAATTTCTATTAACACAAGATCCGTTAAAAGGATGGCAGAGATTGGACCATTTCTTCTGATACCTTACCACATAGGGAGGTATCAACATTTATATCATGCTTATTTAGGTCCAATGCGAAATGGATGGATTCCTTCGAAACCTACTCCATAGAGGGTCAACAATTTGAATAATCATAACAGAAGTCAAAATATACTTAAATAATAGAACATCAGCTGACAGTATAAAATTTAGTACCATTCAGTAGTACCATAATAGTAGTACAATTTAGTACCATTTGCCTTTTAGTACATTTATAGTTCGAATTTCCCAAAAAGCCTTTGGTACATTTATCCTTTGGTACATTATCCGCATCGGCGACCCTTATTCCATATTTTTGAACTCTACCTCCATTTATTTTCCCCATATAATTATTTAGATTTCTAGAATATTTTAGTACACTTATCGTACGAATTTTAAGAAACCCATATTTTCACACCCTCAAATACAAAATTTTGCTGTACGTTGAATCAGTTAATCACTCATTCACTGAAATATTTGGCTGTAAGTCATGAATCAGTACACATACAGCTGTATATAAACGTTGGTATTGAAGTCACTTTTCAAATAAGGTATGCAGAAACAAAATCGGTTTACGCATTCCAGAGAACACTAATGACTAACAAAGTGCAACTTTTCTATGTATATAGATAGTGGACGTGAACATTTTCCTTTAATTAAAAACCTAAATTGGATTACTACGAGGAAAATTTTAATCTACAAGTATAAGTAAAATGGGAATAGAATCACCAATATAGAGAATATAGGTCGGTATTGTTATATGAAAACCGTGGACCAATATAATATGGATAATATTCTGACACATGTGGTAGAACCCATTAACAACTATTTATACTGAATTTCATTTCGAGAGAAAATGTGACCTGAATAGTTCAAATTCCGAAAATATATGGGGGCTAAAGCAAAACATAAACCTACATTCATAAGGTTGGACAGCAGGAAGTAAAACCCATTACAAAATCTAGTTAACAAATTTGAATCAATTTTGTGAAAAAATTGGCCAATATCGGGAGACACAGTTATATGGCGCTATAGGAAATCGTGGATCTATACATACAAGGTTTTACCACTGCTAATACTCATTACGACCTACGAGAACCGAATTTTAGAATTTTTAGTTTAATTCCATTGTGTACCTTTCTTTCCATGGAGGAAGAGTGAAAGGATTCAAATTACATCTGAAACACTTTTAGAAACCCTTTCCCAAAAAGAGTAACAGTTTTATGCAAATTTTAGAGATTTTAGAGAATATGATGCTCTCTTTGACCTCATACTTGTCCTAAACGAAACTAAATTCATCCATCCCATAATAAAGTCTTACATGTCTTATTAGAACAATATTTTAGTTTTCTGTTTTAGATTATATCCTTACGTGGCTTTTACACCCTCTAAAGGCGTGAAAATAACAAAGTGCTGAAATAAATGCAAAATTCTTGCCAGCTGTATGCCCATATTTAAGGAAGAACAACAATATATAAATTTGACAATGAAAATAAAACAAGTTAAAAAGCAGTAAGTTTGACCGGCCCGAACTTTGAATACCTCCTACCATTTGGAACGACTTTGGAAATTTAAAAAAAAAAAACAATAATAATAATAATAATAAAAAATAGAATTCGTTAAAAATTCTGTCAATATCTTAGAAATACGGTACATGTGAAGTTTCCTTTATTATGGGGTCTATACGAAGACCAGGACCAGCATAGGCAGTTTTCTGTCACAGGCTGTAGTAACCTTTCCGAAGTGCAAATATGAAATTTAAAACAATTCCGTTGCATAGTGCTGCTGAAATCAACAATATACCGAAAATAGGGAGGTATCATTATATTGGGGCTTTACGAAGACCAGGACCTGCAAAGACAATGTTTGGTCATAGACTGTTGTACCCATTACGAAGTGAAAATACGAAGTTAGAAATAATTCCAGTGAATAACGTCGTTAATATCATCAAAACGCCGAATATAGGGAGGTACCATTATATGGGGGCTATACAAAGACTAGGACCAGTATAAACAATTTTCTGTCATAGACAGAAGTACCCATTAGGAACTTCAAATACGAAATTTGAAACAATTCCGGTGAATAATGTTGCCAAAAACATCTAAATACCGAATATAGGGAGGTACCATTATACGAGGACCTGGACCTGCATAGGCAATTTTCTTTCACAAAGTACCACTTAGGAACATCAAAGACGAAATTTAAAACAATTCCTGTAAATAATGGGGACTGTACGAAGGCATGGACATGCATAAGTAATCTTTTGTCATAGTCTATAGAACCGATTCCGAACTTCAAATACGAAATTTGAAACAATCTCGTTGAATAATGTCGCTAATATTATCAAATTTGAAACAATTCCGGTGAATAATGTTGATAAAATCATCAAAATACGGAATAAAGGGAGGTACCGTTATATGTGGCCTACATGAAAACGTGGACCTGCATATACCATTTTTCGTCATACGAGCTTCAAACTGTAAATACGAAATTTTAAACAATTCCTGTCAAAAATGTCGCTAAAATTATATGGAGGCTATACGATAAAGTGGACCTATGTCGACAATTCTCTTCCAGGAGGCAAAGTACCCACGGAGGACTCCTTGTGTAGAATTTCATGCAATTCCATTGCAAAATGTGACTGAGATCATTAAAATATCGAATATCTGGAGGTACCGTTATATGGGACGTATACGAAGTAGTAGACCTATATAAGCGATTCTCCTGCAGGCGTTAAAGTACACATAAAGGACTCCTTGTGTATAATTTCAGGCAATTCCATTGAAAATTTTGGCTAAAATCATCAAAATATCAAATATCGGGAGGTACCGTTGTATGGGAGGTATACGAAGTGGTAGACCTATGTAAACAATTCTCCTACAGAATTCCATTGAAAAATGTGGAATCAATATTCCGAATTTGGGGGGGGGGGGGCGTAATATGGGGTCTATACGGTATAGAAGACCGATATAACCCATCTTCGAACTTGACCTGCCTGCACACAAAAGACTGATCTCTGCAAAATTTCAGATTCCTATCTTAATTCGTTTTGACTCTAGCGGACAGACGGACGGATGGATATACCTAAATCGTCTTAGAAGTTTACACTAATCAAAAATATATATACTTTATTAGGTCTAAAATTGAGGCTGGCTATATTGTGCCTTCCCTACTTGAGTCTTTTGGAATGTCAGAGAGACAGAGCTTTCAAACACTCAGATGTAGTATTTGCGCCTTCGGTTGTGTTTAGCTAAAGAAGGTTCTATTCTGTCTCCAATTTCGGGGCCCGCAGCATATTTTTCATACCAAACTTTGTGAAATACTGGTCCATGCTTTTATTTGGTTATGGTAAAGAGACTTCGTCATATTTACATTCAACATTTTGAAAGCATATTTTTAGGCTCCCACCATAATTTTTGAAATTCAAAGAAACACTTTGGAGTTCTGTACAACTTAATGTATTGAGTGTAAAAATATAGAATAGTTTATATAATATAACTATGGAAAGTCGGACATTTGTAAATTAACCTTAGTCAAATTGAAATAAATATGCTACGAATTTGTCATTTAAAAAATTGAATTGTACTTCTGCAAATTGCCAAATAAAATCGTGTGCTCAGTGTAAAGTTCAAAATAAAATTAGAAACAATTGAAGTAAAAAAATATTGAAAATCAAACAATAATTGAAAACATCTATTTACAAAAACATTATAACAATAAATTAATTAAACAAGCAAAACAGGAGAAGAAGAAGCATTTGCTAGTTAGTTTTGTTTTTGTTTTTTAATTTCTAGGTTGTTATTTCAAAACATTTACACCCATGTAGGACAGTGTGGAATGTCTACGGCAGGATGCCTCAATAGTGACTGCTGTCGCTGGAGGTGCACTCAGTGTTTCACAGATTGAACGACGTGCCGGTGCGTTGGATGCATTTATTCGAATTCGTTGTTGCAACTGCAATTGTTGTTGGTTATTGTTTTCACTTCCCAATAAAAGCAACTGGATGATGAGTTGGGTGTGTTTTGTTGGAAAGTTTATTGTTGTGGTTTATCAACAACAATATTTAAAATATTTCACACGTCAAGAATTTCATATTTTATTTGTTTTTGATTTTTACATTTAGATTTTCACCACAATTACATAGGTATGTGAAAAAAATGGATTTAATTAAAAAAGAAAGAAAGAAAAAGATCACCATATTAAACGAAATATGAACTGAAATGAGAGAATAATCCTAGGTATGAAGTCGTGACGTGACGTGTGTGTGTGAAAGGTAAGCGACAAGAAAGGGGCACATGAATGAATTCAAGTGTAAACGTTGTGAGATTCTTGAAAATAAGTATGTAAATAAATTAAATTCAATACTAGACACGAAATATATGTTTGGCGCCCAAATGTTTTAGACTATTAAATAAACTTGAGTTTAACCGGTCCACATTTTTTATATATGCACATCTGAGGTGATCTCTTCCCTGCAGTATGGGTTCTGAGAGATCTGCCACAAAGCAACTACTACGAAAATAAAGAAAGTTTTATAATATATATGGAAATTTGTATAAAATGGGTTTCAAGAATGTATACTACTCATCAAATTCCGTGAAGGTATTTAAAAACTATTTTTTTTTAAAGAATAACAAATTAGGAAAATGGTAAATTTTGTCTTTTTTGAGAACTGAAAATGAAATTTTGTGGTAGAATATGTCTGCAACCTTAAAATTTAAACTATTAAAACGGCGTTACAAGATCGATCGACCTGAATATTTGTGATACGTTGTGATTTTTTTTTCATTAAAATTAAAAAAATGACTCAAATAAATTCGATATTTCTTCCTCATATGAACAATTTATGTACAACTAGTTCAAGCCAAAAGTGGACAGTACTCCAAATAAACTTGTCTCCCAAAAAACCAACGGGTCATTAATCATGAACTTTGCAAGAAAATGTAAAGACTACATAATAATCGGAGAGGCCAGGGTTAATTAAAACAAGTAAATGAGAAGATAATTTTGGGCGGGTCGAGATTTTAATACCCCCCAAACATTTGGAAGGATCTTGCAAAATTTCAGAAAATTCCGCTGGAAAAAAATGTCGCTAAAATTATTAAAATACACAATATAGGGTGGTACAGTGGACGTGTATAGTAAATCAGTATAGCCAGGTGTATGCAAGAGAAGGCTGTGCATTTGCGACATTCCAAAAAAAAAAAAAAAAAATTCCGTTAAAAAATGTAGCTTATATCATCGAAATAGTGAATATCGGAAGGTACTACTATATAGTGGATATACGAAGGTGGGCCCGAGGTAGGATGTAATTTTCTGTTATAGGAAGTTGTATCCATTACGAAAGACCAAATGTTAAACAATTACCCCGAAAAAAGTGACTATCAAAATACTGAATATCGGGGGGTATAGTTATATAGACTCATGTGTCCTACTGAGAACACAAACTACCAATTTGCAACAAATATGGTTCCAAATTGTGATCAAAGCACCTTAAATCGGTACAGTTATGTGGTGCTATATAAAAACATGGACTACCGTTTTGAAAATGTCTGCCCGTCTGTTGAAATCAAGATAGAGGTCACAATATTTAAGACATTTTAAATAATCTTAATCTTAATTTCATACCTCCGAAAAACTGGCTCGAATTCGACCGGGAGCATTCTTAGGAGTAGCAAAAAATCGAGCAAACTCAATTTTTCGACATCGTTCGAATATGAGTGAAAATAAATTCGTTCAAAATCGAGCAGATTATACTCTTGCCCAGCACTCTTCTAGTTTTGTCATGCCGTTGTTGTTGCATATCTATGTATGTTTTTGTGCGCATTGTCGGAATTCAGACAGAACATTATTTGTATAGGTATACCTAGTGGTATGGCCCCGATAAAGCGGTACCGCCTAATTTCTAATACTTTGAAGACATAAATTGCATTAGCCAACCAATTTGCCAGACAAAACTCGTTTAACCATCGAATCCTAATATTTTCCTTTTTATGCCCTCCACCATAGTATGGAGGGTATATTAAGTTTGTCATTCCGTTTGTAACACCTCGAAATGCATTTTAGACCCTACAAAGTATATACATATATTATTGATCAGCATACAAATCTATGTCGATTTAACGATGACCATTCTTCTATGGAAATCACTCTAGCTTCCGAACAAATTGAAATAGGTTTATAAAATTGTACTCAAATGTGTGTTTAGTCTGCAGGCATTTTTCGGCATTTTGATGATTTTAGTGGCATTTTTCACCGGAATTATTTCAAACTTCGTATTTTCACTTTGTAATGGGTACAACAGTCTATGGCAGAAAATTGTCCATGCAGGTCCTGGTCTTTGTATAGCTCCCATGTAACGGAACCTCCCTATATTCCGCATTTTGATGATTTTTGGGACATTATTCACTGGAATTGTTTCAAATTTCGTATTTGAAGTTCATAATAGGTACTTCAGTCTATGACAAAAAATTGTCAATGCAGGTCCAGGTCTTCGGATAGCCCCTAAATATCGGTACCTCACTATATTCGGTATATTGAAGATTTTAGCGACATTATCTTACGGAATTGTTTTAAATTTCATATTTGCACTCGTTATGGGTACTACAGCCTGTGACAGAAAACTGCCTATGCAGGTTCACGTCTTCGTATAGACTTTAAAATAACGGTAACTCCCTATATTCGGCATTTTTAGAATTTTAGCAGAATTTTTAACGGATTTCATTTTTATTTGCTTTTTTTAATTTCCAAATTCGTTCCAAATGGTGGAAGGTTTTGAAAGCTCGGCCCAGCCGAACTTACTGCTTTTTGACTTGTGAAGATTTGTTTTTCTCCGTAGTGAAGGGTATAAATGGAAGAATCCTATTGAAATTTAAAAATTGGTCAAAATTAAGATATTGATCCCACATATATATATCTTCGTCCGATTTGCCTTTTATTGTTCACCAAACGTGTAATATCAGCCCAAATAGTATGGCATTTTACACATACAACCAAATTAGGCCTGTAAATAAGTATGCCAAATTTTATGGAAACCGGTTCAGCTCCCATATATATTGTTCATCCGATTTGTTATTTTTGTCCTCCGCAGCCGTAAGATGCACTCTGTAACAACGTTATTTGGAGAAATATGTCAAATACAACTCAGAAGTACCTCTGCTGTTTGGATATAGCTCCCATATTTATAAAAGTTATTGGGCACACCTCAAATTTCGATATGTGATATCTAATGGTTTGCACATTTCCATCTCAAGTAATAGTAGCAAATACAGAACTGTTGCTAGAATTGATTTATCAATCGTAATATTTACGACAAAAGCTGCATTTACACAGTATTTGTTTTGGTTCAACGATTTTTGAAAAGAAAACAAATATATTCAGAGGGTTGTACAATTTTGGCTTGCACCACATGGCCATAAGCAGAGAGTTATAACTTTAAATAAAATGCATTTCTGAACAAAAGATATACATGTAATTAAAAAAAAAGATAATGCAATCCATTAAAAAGCCAATTAAGTAAATTAAAAAATACAAGAGTGTGGTTTAAGAAACAGAAAAGAAACGAACGTCTTATCCTGGTAATCGATGTTCGGAGTCCGAGTGAAGTGTGTGTGTAAGGAAATGGCAAATTATGACGACTGAAGCGTAAAGGAAACATTTGAAAATATGTCTACGAACAACGATTATATACAATGGGTGAATGATTGACATACGGATATCTACACACACATATGTTATAGGTTATTGGTATGTAAATAAATGAGTACGGTAAGAGAGACGGACGTATGCGATGATGAGTGCAAATGTATATATTGTTATTAATTATAAGCAATGAGAATGGATTGTATAGTGTGGGCGAACACAAACACCCACACACAGGAATATGTCCTGTTATTCATTATGAGGTGGCGGAGGTACGTAGCCCTTACATCTGTATGTGCAGTGAAGAGATATATTGAGACATACCTGTAAACTTGTGTAGCTATTGTACTTTCGTTTGGTAAAAGGAAAACCGCTTTGGTGTTCGTTGACATGACGATGGCGCAAAAGTAGAGAACGCAATACGGCCGGTTTGTCATCTGTGTGGATTAAGTCATCAACAACCATCTACAAATGAGAATAAAAGTAATAAATTATTAGATTGCGTTAAGAATTTGTTATAAATGTGTTATAAATTATCGGAGGGTATATTTGAGGATTCCGACGATAGTAGTTCCAAATTCCAACAAAAAAAGGTGATTTATTTATCAATATTTATTTGATCAATATTTGCTCTATTTTAGAACCTTCTAGTTTTGCAATTTACACATGTTTAAATTATAATTACATATTGCAAAAAAAAAAAAAAAAACCAAATAGAGCCTACGTTCGCTTAGTACGAACCGTATAGAGATTTGTTCTTGGGCTAAAACGTTGCCTGAAACTCCTTTTGGAGCCTACGTTCGCTTGGCATGGACCGTAGGGAGAAAGCCTTCCTAGTCTAAAGATTTTCCCTACAACTATCCTTGGGGCCTACGTTCGCACAGCTCGGACCGTAGGCAGCTTTTCCAAGTCATTTCTCTACAACTCTCTCTGGTTACTCGCTCAGCCCGAATTGCTGGAACCATCGATGTTTCCAGCCACCTCGTTGCATTGCGACTTTGTTTTCATATTGACACTCTCTTCCTAGCTACGGAGCTAATCGCATAAAAAAGGTAATCTGTCAAATCGGGTTGACAAACTCTCACAACATCTCAATAAACAGTAATTTATCTTATTATAACTACTTATTTCGTGCGATTTGCTCTTATAAAACAATAATGGGTTGGTAACCTGATTTGTAATATATATTTTCCGGATTTCTGAGCCTGAGCAAAGACATAAAATACTGAAGATGTGACATAAAGCCGATTGTTTAAAATGCTCCTGTTTGGACATCGATGGCCAATGGCATCGAAAAAATTCAATAGAGATATTAGAGCCATGGGTTTGACATGTAATTTTTATACCCTACACCACAAGGTGGTCAGGGTATTATGTCTTCGTGTATTTGTTTGCAACATGGAGAAGGAAGCGAGATAGATCCAAAGTTACTTTTGAGGATCTTCATAGAATAACTTTCAGCGTCGATATATGCATATTAGTCCGTCTGTCCGTCCGTCCCAAAAGAGCTGAATTTTGGCACATCCAACCGAAATGCACCAAATGGTCAATATAAGTCCAAAAGTGTTGGATTTTGGTACATCCGACCGAATTCAGTCTAGAAAAAAGTACATCAATTTTGGAGAAAATCGGTTTAGATATTTTCATCCGATTTGGGATTTAAGTGACCCTGATTCGTAATATGCGTTCGACAACAATGATATTTGGTACCAGATATCTTATAGAGCTCGGAAATACATTTGCCAAATTTTATCGGTTCAGATTTGGGTATAGCTTCCATATATATCCTTAATCCGATTTCAGGTTTATTGTGCAAATAATGGTTAATATCAACCCAGATGGACCGAATTTTGACTCTTCCAACGGATTTCGGCCTAAAAGTAAGTGCTTACAATTTGGTGATAATCGGTTCAGATATAGCTATAGCTCCCATATATATGTTTCATCCGATTTGAAGTTTTAAATCCCTCACATGCGTAATATTCACTCCACAACAATGATATTTGATACCTGTCATCAGATACTGCTCGAAAATACCTCTGCCAAATTTTATCGAGATCAGTTCAGAAATTTTTCATAGCTTCGATATACATCTTCTTCCGATTTTAAGGATATTGCTCTCCATATATGTAATATCAGCCCAACTTGAATAGATTTTTTCATATTCAACCGAATTTTACAATTTGGTGGAACTCGGTTCGGTATATCTATAGCTGCCATAAATATTTTTTAAAATATTTCTTATCGAAGCCATATCATGATCTACTTCACATAAATTCCCAATATAAACCTTTTGGTTACGGGAGCTCTACTAAATACGCATAGTGGTGTAGGGTATCATAAAGTCGGCCTGCCCGACCTTTAGACTTTCTTTACTGGTTCCATACTAGAAACGCCATCTACTATAATATAGCAACAATGGATGAATTATAAAAGGTCATTTTTTAACAGCTTCAGGAAAGAACGCATACAATTTTGACAAATGCATGAAAGCTTCATTTGCTGCTTTATCGACTTAGCAAATACATAAGAATGTATGTAAATTTGTATGAAGACACATTGTACTTACTTGTTCAACAACGCGATATGCAACAGCTGGCAAGTCTTTTTCGTTTAAATCCAAAAGCACAACACCTGTTTCAAGGCAACGACGCAAATTAAGCAATGAATGAAATGAAAGTGAAGACACATGAGCTTTGCCCCAGCGATCAGAGCCCTCTTGAACATCTTCTTCGTATTTGATCCAACGTGCCGTTTCTTTCCACTCACGATCCTCACCGGATCCCATAAGCTCATCAAGCTGTACAAAGATCTAGAAATTCCAAAAAAAATTATAGAATGTAAATACGTAGCTCGGCCATCTTGAGACTTACTTCATGTGGACTGTGATCGAATTCCTTTTTAGCCTGCTGCTGTAATCCGGCCACACTTATTTGTGGCAATTCCCTTAATTTAATGGATGAATGATGAATTTTGTGCCTTCTCAATGCCCGAGGATCATCCGAACGATGTGATCTTAATTCATTAAGATCCGCCTCCTATAAAAATTATTGGAATTTTTAGTTATTTTGCAAAGTCATAAAAAGGGTTGTAAATAACTCTTAACCTGTGGGGCCTTTGGTTTGCAAAAAGGTTTGAGGTTAAGCAATACAAAAAGAAAAGTGAAATGGTAATACAGTTAGCTATTTTATACCCATAAATAAATACATTGGCTAATATAAATACATATGGTAAATAAAAAATATGTATGCATCAATAAAAAAATAAAAATAATATAAAAAGTGGAACCTATGCGAACCTATGTTAAAAAATAAATTTGATCTACTTAAACTAGCAAAAGCTATCATCATCATCTATCTATATTTATACAAAAAGGGGCTGTTGATCTCTACATTTAGCGTTGAAAAACTCACTCGAATTTGTACAAAAAGCGAAACTTACTCGAATTCGGGCGAGTGCGCTGCTGGAAGCAAGAAAAATCGAGCAAACTCTATTTTTCGCTCGACTATGAGTGATTACATTTCCATATTTTTTAATGAGAACAGATTCGTTCAGAATCTAATATTGCCGAGCTCTATTTTATTATACCCTGGTCAGGGTATTATGTCTTTGTGCATTTGTTTGTAACAGGCAAAAGGAAACGAGATAGACCCATAGTTCCTTTTGATGATTTGCATAGAATCACATTCTGAGTCGATTTATGCATGTCCGTCCGTCCGTCCGTCTGTCCATGTATTTTTGTAAACGAAGTACAGTTCGCATTTCTTGCCCTATTCAGATGAAATTTTGCACAAATCATTTGTTTGGCCCAAGGACGAACCCTATTGAAATTGGAGATAATCGGTCAAAATTTAGATATAGCTACCATATATATCTTCGTCCGATTTGCCTTTTATTGTGTACCAAACGTGTAATATTAGTCCGAATAGTATGGAATTTTGCACGTACGATCAGATTGGACCTCAAAATAAGTATGCCAAATTTGATCGAAATCGGTTTAGATATAGCTATAGCTCCCATATATATTGTTCATCCGATTTGTTATTTTTGTCTTCCGCAGCCGTAATATGCATTCTGTAACAACAATATTTGGGGAAATATATCAATTACAGCTCAGAAATACATTTGCTACATTTTATCGAGATCGGTTCAGATTTGGATATAGCTCCCATATATAACTTCGTCCGACTTACCTTGGATTGTGCACCAAACGTCTAATATTTGCCCAAATTGGATGAAATTTGGCACTTACGACCGAATTGCGTCTAGAAGCTAGTATGTCAAATTTGGTGAAGATCGGTTCAGTTATAGCTATAGCTCCCATATATACTGTTCATTCGATTTGTCATATTTGTTACCCACACCCGTAATATGCACTCCGTAACAACGATATTCAGGGAAATATATCAAATACAGCTCAGAAATATCTTTGCAAAATTTTATCGAGATCAGTTCCGATTTGGATGTAGCTCCCATATATATTTTTATTCGATTTCAAATTAATTGTGCACCAAATGGGCAATACAAGTCCGAATTTAAAAGATACAAATGCTTCGGCATATTTAGTTCTTTGAACTTTAAATTATAATTGTAATCATAGCGTGTATGTTTGAATTCTCCCATAAAAACTTTTAATTGTTATGCGCAGCTCTGCTAAATTAGCAAAGTGGTGTAGGGTATCACAAAGTCGGCCCCGCCCGACTTTAAGACTTTCTGTTCTGGTTTTTGTTATACCCTTGTGTATGTGTATTTTTCTGTACAAGATCATCCACACCTCTCTCATCCAGCCCCCTCCCCCTCTCTCTTCGAGCAATCCTACCCGCGAGCAAGTTTCGCTCCCGAGAGAAAATGAGCAAGTCTCTGCTATGGTTGACATTCGCTTAACAAATCCCACTTTTGAAATGTTATAACGTCAGAAATTTGTGTTATGCTGAATGAACTATTTACGAGGATACCTTATGAATTAACGGATGTGGGCCCTTTATGACCTGGAGGTTATATGGTAATAAATGCAAACCGTGTACTGAGGATCTGAAAAAGCATGTTAGCTGTATTGAATATAAGAGGCGATAAAGATACCCCAAAACAAATTTCAAATGACGATATTGATTGTACAGATGTGGACAGTACTTGATCGGTTAAAGACTAATAAGGCAGAAGGAACTAATGAACTGCCAACAGAACGGATTAATTGGCGACATTCTGATAAGAAATGTATGTCAGATAACTGCCAAGATTTAAGAAGTCATATGGAAACATAAAGCGGATTGGAGACAAGACGTGAAATGCATATGCGAAAGCATACACCCTTTGCTAACAGTATTGTGAGAACGGCGACTTCCTACCGTGCAAAAAGTTGGTAGCCACGTGTGTCATATTTAGCCAGAGCTTCGAGATGGTCGCTCGAATTCGAGTAGAGTAAAACTCGATCGATTCATTGTATCTCATTCTTATAGCAGCTCTGGCGAAAACTGTTTATCCCGCATGCAAATCCAAGCTCTGCCTTGAGCACCTTTTCCAAATCGTTACGATTTGCTTTTGCTTCTTCAGCACTCGTACGTTTTGACTAATCCGGAAAAAAAATCATTTCACATTTTTGAAATAAAAATATGGTAACTCCATGAAAAAAAAGTCGTAAACAAATTATTGACAATTAAAAAAGGAGTTTAAATTGTTTTTTATAATATAAACACCAAAAATAAAAATGCCAGGGGCTTCAATACTTGCTGTAATGGATGAAGAAATAAATCAGCGGTCTACTGAAAAAATTCGTCGCCGGACATTGAGGAACGCATCAGATCCTTTATCTCACTCAAATGCAGAGTAAGGATCCACCAGCAATGAGTTATTTTCAAATTTATTTTAATAAAAATTTATTTCTACAGATTTATAACTTATTATCGGCTAAATAAAGAAGCTTTTGTTTTAGTTTTGGAAAAAATTTCTCCCCACCTCAATCGTTCCAATATACCGGCTATTATCCAGCTTGCAACAACGCTTAGGTTTTTGGCTACGGGTGCATTTCAAGGAGTTATAGGTAGAGATGTGGAGCTAAGCCTTGGGAGAAGTACAGTTTCTACAATTATGTGGAGAGTTATTAATGCAATTGAAGCTGTCTCAAACCAAGCAATTAATTGCTTGCAATTTGCTTTTTGATCTGTCAGTTGTACATTTCTACACCTTCTTCTTCAACACATATGGCAATAATTCAACAATACAAGTCTGCCGTTCATTTCTGCATATTTTTTTGCGTTTTCATCATGGATTAGAAAAATAATAGATTTTTTGTAAAATAAATTCCAAAAACATGTTCATTCTAAGAGAATTTGGTTAATACAATATTTTCTGTTAAATGTATGTGTCTTCTGTTTATTTTTTACGTTAAAATCACTAAACATTTCAATTTCACCCTGCTTTTTGAAAGTGATATCAAAACGCAAAATTTTTGCGTTTTCCGTTTTTTAGAGAAGCTAAAACCGTTTTCGTTTTCACTCTTGAACGATTTTACATTCTGTGACATGCCTGATTATTTCAGTTGAAATTCCAATTGTAATTCAAACTTTTACGATTATTTGAAACAATTCCGGAACAAAATGTAGCTAAAATCAAAGCCAAAATGCCGAATATTGGTAGGTACCGTTATATGGGGGCTATATGTAAACGTGGACCGACATGATTCATTTACGAACTTAACCTATCTACTGGCAAAATACACAAGTGGCCAAAATGTTAGCTTTCTTTCGCAATTTGTCCGAAATATACTATGGTGGAGGGTATAAAAAGGTGTTATAGTGAAACCTCCATGACTATCACCGATAGCCCATAAAAATGACAACTACATGCCCCATGCATTATGATGTAATGAGTTTAAAAAGTGTGTTACATAATTGTTAACTTTTATGCTCTTTCGAACTCGAGTGAAGAGTGAAACTCGCTAGAATTCGAGCGGGAGTGCTACGATATTCGGTATTTTTATAATATTAGGAATTGTTTTAAATTTCGTATTTGAAGTTCGGAATCGGTACTATAGCCTTTGACAAAAAAATATGTATGCAGGTCCAAGTCTTCATTCATACGTTATTATTCTACGGTTTTTATACCCTCCACCATAGTGTGGAGGGTATATTAAGATTGTCATTCCGTTTGTAACACCTCGAAATATACATTTTACACCCCACAAAGTTTATTTATTATTGATCAGCATATGTCGATTTAGCGATGTCCGTCCGTCTGTCCGTCTATTCGTCTGTGAAAATCACTCTAGCTTCCGAACGAATTGAAGTAGATTGATAAAATTGTACTCAAATGTATATTATGTCTGCAGAACTTTTGGTATTGATAATGGGCAATGTAGGTCCACGTTTTGGTAGAGCCCTCCTGATATTCGGTATTTTGATTATTTTAGCGACAATATTCATCGGAATTCTTTCAAATATAATAATATAACAGCTACATTCGGTATTTCTAAGATTTTAACAGAATTTTTAACGGATTTTATTATTTTTGAGAATTGCCAAATTAGTTCCAAATGGCGGCCGAACTTACAGCTTTTTTACTTGTTTTCAATTTTTCAAGATCCTTCAAAATGGTGGAGTTTATTAAAAGCTCTGCACGTCCAAATTTAGCTGCTTTTTTACTAGATCTTCTTGGACTTTTTACACTGCCATAACACCACCCCCTCCCCTCAGTTCACGACAACATCAAATCCAGTTTGCTGTTACCCACAGAAATCAACAAACAAAAAAATTTTCTCCACTTGATTTACTCTTAGGGTAAACTCTTAATCTACTTCGATCGTTTTGACTTGGGATCTCTCCCACATAAAACAAATGATTGAGGAGTAAAGTTCCTATAACACTTGTACTCTTCGAACACTCCCGCTCACGAGCACGAGTTTTCGCGAGTAAGGTAAATACAAGAAGACCCATGAGCCTAATGAAATGAAATCGGTTGGATGCATAATCTGCCCGAATAACAAATTAGGTCTGGTAACGGCAATGATACAAAGTTCATAGTATCAAAGCACCAGACGTGCTGTGGACTGGAACCAATAAAGGCATTTGAATACGATCCCATAGGGAAGGACAATAGCGTAATGACGTATTCTAGCTATGTTTGAAGTAAAAACATGGGTATTGTTGCTAATCTATTCTTATTTCATCTTATAGAACAAACTTTTTGTGTATGACATCCAACGATTTTTCTTTGGTCATAAGACTAAGGGTCTCCGATTGAAGTATGCTATCTTTCAATACAAGATACAAACATTTCATCAGACACAAAAGAGCAATAAATTTTGTTTTTTCAAATTCTCTTATACTTATTTAACATCCATCGAAAATTTGTGTTACCTTGTGTCATTTAATCACTATTTACGTTTAAATTATTAATTTACTCTAGCTCAAACTACACAAAATACATGGAACAATAAAAATAAAATTATCCAAAAAAAAAAACAAAGCTATCTACCAAAAATATCAAAACAAACAAATACAAAAATAAATGAAAACAAAACACTGGCTTGACTTACCTCCAGTGACGCGTCTTCCGGTGCTGATATTTTGTGATTACCGGCATCGCCGTTTTCTTCGGTGACTTTTTTGGCTTCCACGCTGTCTTGATGGGAAAATTTCCGTTGTCTATAATACTGTATTCGACTAAAAAAACCAAAACAAAAAACAAACGACAAAATAATTATTAAGCAATTATTGTATTTGAACACAAAAAAAAAAAACGTGTATCAGCTAATTAACGGTAATTAGTATTATTTTTATCTTGAAAACAAAAAGAGAACACAAAAAAAAAAAAAAACGAAAACAAACCTTTTTCTTCTTTTACGTTCGTGTATATTGTCGTTGGGTTGTTCATCATAACTTAGACTGGGCGGTGTAACAACTGATGCTTTCTTTTTACCAAATTGCACACGTTTTTCATCTGTGGAATTATCCTGTTTGCAAAAAAAAAAAACAAACGCGCGATTTATTTATGCAATTATTATTTGTATTGTGTTTTTTTATAATTACCGAATGATCTCCATGACCCGCACGTTCTGAAACTAATGGATAATCTTCGGGGATATCATCGTAATTTTGGGCATTTGTTGCTTCGTTACCCTGTTCGTATTCGTTTTGTTCTTCTATATTTAATTCTCCTGGTAAATTTTTACGATTGGCTGTAAAGAAGAAATGTTAATAAATCGTTACTGAGAGAAGTCTTAAGAGTTGAAAACAGCGAGGGTTGAGTAAAAAATACAAATCGCAAGTCATCTTAAATAAAAGGTTGGCATATGTAAATATTCCCAAACGAGTAATATTACAATAGAGACCTTAAAAACCAAACCAAACAGGAAATTGGAAAACGTATTGAATATAGATATAATTTATTTATTTTTATAAAAAAAATTAACCCATTTCGCTCCTCTGTTCGATTTTTTGAAAAGCAAAAACGCCCTTTTCCAAAAAAAAAAAAAAAAAAAAAAAAACAAGTAAAAAAGCTGTAAGTTCGGCCGCGCCGAACATTGAATTATGTTAAAAAATACCGAATGTAATCGTATATTAGGGTCTATACGACGACGTATAGGGAGGTACCATGGGGGTTATAAAACATGGACCTGCACAGACAATTTTCTGTCATAGGCTGTAGTATCCATTACGAACTTCAATTACAAAATATGAAATAAATCCGGTAAATAATGTCGCTAAAATCATCAAAATACCAAATATCGGGAGAACCGTTATAATGGGGCTATACGAAGACGCGGACCTGCACGGACAATTTTCTGTCATAGGCTGTAGTATTCAAGCTATTACAATATTCAAATGCGAAACTTTAAACAAAAATATGTTTATAATGTAGCCAAAATCATAAAAATAGAGAATATCGGGGGTTCCGTTATATGGGGCTATACGAAGACGTGGACCTGCACAGGCAATTTTCTGTCATAGCTGTAGTATTCATTATGAAACTCAAATACCAAATTTGAAATAGTTTCGGTAAATAATGTCACTAAAATCATCAAAATACCGAATATCGGGGGGTACCGTTATATGGGGGCTAGACGTGGACCTGCATGGCTCATTTTCTGTCATAGGCTGTAGTATTCATTACGAACTTCAAATACAAAATCTGAAATAGTTCCGGTAAATAATGTCTCTAAAATCATCAGATTACCCAATATCGGGAGATACCGTTATATGGGGGCTATACGAAGACCTGGACCTGCATGGCTTATTTTCTGTCTTAGGATGTAGTATCCATTACGAACTTCAAATACCAAAATTTAAACAATTCCGGTAAATAATGTGGCTAAAATCATCAAAATACCAAATATCGGGAGGTACCGTTATATTGGGGCTATACGAAGACGTGGACCTACATTGCCCATTTTCCATACCAGAAGTCCCGCAGACATAATACACATTTAAGTACAATTTTATCAACCAACTTCATTTCGTTCGGAAGCTAGAGTCATTTCCCGAGACGGAATGGTGGAGGGTATAAAAAATCCATAACTTATAAAAAACATTTTTTTACTTCGAAAAAATTTAGCTCTTTTTCCGAATCTGCTGCAAAGTTTTCTTATAGTGTCACTGTCCAATACCCAGTCTGATTTGTGGGAAATTCCAAGGGAATATGATAGTGCTCGGTTTGTTGATCAAAACCACAAAAGAGTTTTGGGTTCTTATTGTATTAGGCTTTTGTATAACCTTGACCATACGATCCCAAAAATATATTATATATTTCGCAACATTTACTATGGTTTTATTCATATGGAAAATATGAAGTATGATTTAGACTTTTGATCTAGATACTATAGTCGAATTTTATGGCCAAAAGTTTGTGGAACTTTAATCAAATTTAAAAAATGAATAGAAGGACCGGATTGTTGACTCGACATTTTCGATCAAGATATTCCTCGTATTTTTCTCTGCAATATTGCCGAAGACACCATATACCTACTTAGGTTACTTTGCGATGCAAACTTTCAAAACGCCGATACACGTGTCTTCTATTTTTAAATCTACATTGACAAGCTGCTGGATATTTTGCTGTAATTATTATTAATACAGAGTAGAAACAGAATACAAAGTAGAAACGCAGTGCTGCAAACTCATGAAAATGGAAAACAAATAAAATAGTTTCAAAATCACTGTGAAAAATCAAAAAAAAAAAAAAATTACTCTAATTAAATAGCGTCCCCCATTTTTGTACTTTAATGTATACCTTTTAATCTTATTCTTGCAGATAAATGTTATTCACATTTGAGCGTTCCGATAATGAGAATGAGCTATGTAAAATTAGAGATTCCAAAAAATGTTTGTTTCCCATAAAAAATTACTCAGATTTTCAAACTTCTTCATTTGTAAGTGGTTATAAATATAAAAATATTCACTTTCAACATTAACCACAATTTTTTTTCATTTTACAGATACCAGTCATTGCGAATATTCTAAGCCAAAGAGACTACATTACATTTCTGTAAAGTCATTTCCGAAGAATTGTTAATAGAATACAACTATAAAGGATGAAAGGAAAAGTGTATATAATTACAGGAGTTTCAAAGTGCGAAGGATACGTTACAAGGCAAACATAAAAAAGCATCTCATATTTTCGTAGAAAAGCTGATTAAAAAGACATATTTGCTACAAGCGTAAAGGGAAATAATGGTCCATACACAAAAATGATACTCCTTCTACATATTTTTAGGCAGCGAATGAAGTAGATCATACCAACTATGAACCTTATTTGAATGCGTTTCAGGGCTTTAGGGCAGTTATAATTTGGTTTCAAAGGGAACTAATATATGAGAGTTATATCCAATTCGAAATAGATTTGCACCAAATTTGAAGGAGACATTTTAACCTCTCATATCAAATAGTATTGCTGTAGAATGACTAGATGATATCACTTCGAGATGGTTTTTATTAAAAACTACATAGGAACCGAGTTCCTCCAAATGGAAAAAAATCGGTAGAATGTGAAAAAAATGACTAGGTTAATTTGGGCTGATATTACATATATGGTGAACAATAACTGTGAAATCGGATGATGATGATATATATGGAAGCTATATCCAAATCTGAACAGATCTCGATAAAATTTGGCAGAGGTATTTGTATGCTGTATCTGATAGCACCACATTGTTTTGGAACGCATTTACAGGTGTGAGGGACTAAAATACAAAATCGAATGAAACATATATAATGTGAGAAGAAAAAACTGCAACCAAATTCAGACTGCTGTCATTTCTAAGCCACTCGTCCGACAGCTGTTAAAATTATTCCAGTGACAGCTCATTATATTGTTTACAAGCGTACAAAAGCATTTTTGTGAGTATTTTCCAGAAAAAAGGTTATTCGTGATGGAATTCAAGCGTGATGGTGTGATTTCTTTGTATTTGGCTGGAAAACCACAAGTGGCTATCGGTAGAGCACTCCAGCATTTAAATGTGAATAAATAATCGCTCGTTACCGTGATACTGGTAGCGTAGCCCGACGTCAAGGAAGTGGACGTAAGAAAACAGCAACATCAGCAGCAATGGTTCGAAAGCGAAAGCGTATTAATCGAAACCCGTGTCGCAGTGACCGAAAAATGGCTCGTGAGCTGAACATATTGCAATATTCCATTCGGCAAACATTGAAAAATGAGCCAGGGGTAAAGCCATTAAAATTCCAAAAAGTGAAAGAACTTACACCACAACTGAAAGAAAATAGACTCAAAAGAGCTAAAGAGTTGATTCGCTTGGCCGAAAATGGTGAACTGCCGAATTTAGTTTTCTCCGATGAGAAAACATTCGTTGTCTAGCAGTTTGTAAACAAACAAAATGATCATACTTAGTTGCCAAAGAGGTCAGCTGAAAATGTGCACCTTCGGTTGGTCACCAGAACTCAAGCGCCGGCCATGGTGATGGTGTGGGCCGCCATAACAGCAGATGGTCGCTCCCCCTCGTATTAATCGACCGTGGAATCAGAATAAATTCCGAATATTATCGCGAAAATATTCTGGAGGGTGTATTAAAGTCTTGGGAACGTAAACCACCAACACCGCCCCACCACAGAATGGTTACAATATGAAGTTCCAGCGCCCAACGGCCACCAAAATATCTGGATACCAATCCGTTGGACTATTGTGCCTGGAGTATTTTGGCACTAAAAATACCAAAGTGTCGATCACCTCAAGCAAGCGCTTCGCCGGGAATGGGCCAAAATACAGAAGAGCAACATTCAGGCAGCGTGTGACGGTTTCATTGAAAGTTTTGAACGTGACCAGTTTGAACAAATCTAAACTTATTCTAAAATTTGATACTATTTCTGACATTTTTTTGTTTTCATTCAATAAAATTTAAAAAAAAAGTAAAAATTATGGCATATGACTTCGTTGCAGTTTTTTTTATCTCACCCTGTATATGGGAGCTATATCCAAATCTAAAGCGATCTCGATTACAAGAAATGATGTATACAACATTTCATCTCAATGTGGACAAAAAAATTTTCTTCACAAAAATACATGGCCAGAGAGACAAACGGACGGACAGGGTATTATAAACCCACAGTTACTTTTGATTAGATTCATAGAATCATCTTCTAAGTTGATTTATACATGTCAGTCCGCCCGTCTGTCTATCCATGTATTTTTGTGAACAAAATGCTGGTCACATTTATTATCCGGTTGAGATGAAATGTTTCAAACAATATTTAAGTTTAAGATTTTGTCAAAATCGGTTCAGATTTGGATATAGCTCCCATATATATCTTTATCCGATTTCAGGTTTTTTGTCCAAATGTCCGACCGAATTCAGTCTAGAAGCAAGTACTTAAAATTTGGTGAAAATTGGTTCAAATAAAATCTCCCAGTCTGGGTTGTGGAAAATTTCAAGTGGTTTTGATGGTACTCAATTTGTAGATCAAAACCACAAAAGAGTTTCATGTTCTCAGGCCTAACACGTTTAAGGCTTTTATATAGCCCTTACAATACACAAAGGGACCCCAATATTTTGAGCCATATTTCAAAACATTTAGGTTTTGGAATACTTCAAACATCATTGCTTTAAAAATGTGTGTCTCGTCTCATCTTTTTATACCCTACAACACTATGTGTTGGGGGTATTATAAGTTTGATTGGGCCAAAAATTATGTAACACCTCGAAATATTGATTTCCCACATAGGAAAGTATATATGGATCTTCCTAGCTCGCCGAGTTGAGTCGATCTAGCTATGTATGTCCGTCCGTCCGTCTGTCCGTCTGTCCGTCTGTCCGTCTGTCCATGTTAATTTGTAATCACTCTACAGGTCGCAATTATGGCCCGATCTTCACGAAATTTAGAATGGAGATGGGACTGGGGTCAGAATAGAACCCTATTTCTTTTGGAGATGATCGCCAAATGTTTAGGGGTTGAAATGGACCAAATACTGAAAAAATGTCGGATTTTGCAGTAGCTATACAGGTCGCAATTATAGACCAATCGACGCGGAATTTCGCATGTAGCTAGAGTTTAGGGCGGGGAAGAAGCCTACCAATTTGTGTGGTCATCGGATAATATTTAGCGGGTAAAATAGGCCATATCTTTGTTGTTGAAAAAATTCAAAATTTTTCATTAAACCGCGAATATTTTAAATCCCGGCAAAATCACAAAGCCTTGGCAAGGTTACTTCTGATCTTTACATTGATGTTAACATCCATCAAAACGGATATATAGCAAAATATGTGCGATATATATGTCTATCAAAGAAGATATGCATGAAAGATCTCTTATATGTCGAGAACGGCTGAACTGATTTCGACAGTTCTCATTAATTCAGAATGGCCTCTTGGCAGGAAAGACAAAACCTCTAAAAAAATTGCATAAAAATATCTCTCTAAAGATGAAAATATTGATTTTGTAAAATTGTCTCATATTTTTTCAATTTTGTCATATTTTTGGCATATTTTCATTTTGAATTAAACATTTGGTAATATTTCTATAGCTAACAAAACTAAGTAGTTGAGATATCAGGATATCATATACAGATCGTATTTATGGCCCGATCCTTACGAAATTTTGCATGGGGATAAGATGAGGGTCAGAATAGATGCCTACTCTTTTTGGAGATGATCGCCATATATTTAGGGGTTGAAATGGACCAAAAAACTGCAAGATTTTCTGCAGGTCGTAATTATCGCCCGATCCTCACGCACATTTGAATGGGGGTTACCGGACATTACAAAAGCCAAGCAGTTTTGGGTGGAATACAGGAAAGACGCACTTCTGACTATTTCGTTAACGATGATTTCGTTGAAGAATATAGCCAAATGTCTGTATCTCATATAGATGCGTTTCAGTAAAAAACCAACAATAAATGTTAATCTTTTGCCACTTCTGAGAGATTATAGGTCTTTGGGAAATATTGGTTCCAGATCTAGGAAGACCATTTACGTGCAACATCTACTTATAAATTGGAAATGAGCAAATTAGTTCAAGTTTCTATTATTCGAAAATTAGAGGACGGAACCTGATGGTTTTCTTTTATTATTTGTCACAACATCTTGTGGAATTCTTTCGAGTATCTCGCCTATATCAACTGTATCGTTTATTATAGTGTTGTAGGGTATTCAACGGTCGGCCCCGCTCGACTGTAGCCTTTGCTTACTTGTTTTTTTTCTATATCCACTATATAAAGGTAAACACTGATTTCAAGTAATGTATAAATATGAAAATATATTTACCATTAAATTTCGCTAAATTTTGGCATTTTGAGTTTTTATACCCTCCACCATACTATGGAGGGTATATTAATTTTGTCATTCCGTTTGTAACTCCTCGAAATACTCATGTCAGACCCAACAAAGTATATATATTCTTGATCAGCGTAAAATTCTAAGACGATATGTCCGTCTGTCTGTCTGTGTGTCTGTCTGTCTGTCTGTCTGTCTGTCTGTCTGTCCGTCTGTCTGTTGTAATCACGCTATCTTTCGAACAAATTGAGATGGAAGGCTAAAATTTTGCACACATGTATATTTTGCCAGTAGGCAGGTTAAGTTCGTAAATGGGTCATGTAGGTCCAAGTAATCATATAGCCCCCATATAACGGTACCCCCCGATATTCGGTATTTTGATAATTTTAGCGACATTATTTAGCGGAATTGTCCCAATTTTGGTATATGAAGTTCGTAATAGATACTGCAGCATAAACCAGAAAATAGGCCATGTAGGTCCACGTCTTCATATAGCGCCCATATACCGTACCCCCCGATATTCGGTATTTTGATGATTTTAGCGACATTATTCACCGGAATTGTTTCAAATTTGGCATTTGAAGTTCGTAATGGATTCTACAGCGTAAGACAGAAAATTATCTGTGCAGGTCCACGTCTTCGTGTAGCCCCTATATAACGGTACCCCCCGATATTCGGTATTTTGATGATTTTAGCGACATTCTTTACCGAAATCGTTTCAAATTTGGTATTTGAAGTTCGTAATGGATGCTACATCCTAAGTCAAAAAATGAGCCATGTAGGTCCACGTCTTCATATAGTCCCCATATAACGGTGCCCCCCGATATTCGGTATTTTGATGATTTTAGCGAAATTATTTAGCGGAATTGTTCCAAATTTGGTATTTGAAGTTCGCAATGGATGCTTCATCCTAAGTCAAAAAATGAGCCATGTAGGTCCACGTCTTCATATAGCCCCCATATAACGGTACCCCCCATATTCGGTATTTTGATGATTTTTAGCTACATTATAAACATATTTTTCTTTAAGTTTCGCATTTGAATATTGTAATAACTTATGACAAAAGTTGCCCACGTCGTCGTATAAGCATTCGGTATTTTTAAGATTTTAACACAATTTTTAACGGATTTTATTTATTTATTTATTTTTTTTTTGGAAATTGCCAAATTTGTACCAAATGGTGGAGGGTATTAAAAGTTCGGCCCGGCCTTACAGCTTTTTTACTTGTTTGTATATAGAAACCCTCTTGCCATAAATTATCAGTATTTGTCCATGTTTTGTTGTAGACCTTATATTATGATACCCCTTGATTTTAGCTATATTTTCCATAGGAAGATTTTTTTATAAAACAAAATTCGTGTAGTTATTCCAAAACACAGAAGAATATATTTGCTCACTTTTTTATTCTAATAAATATTACACTGGTGTTCCGCACATATAGGCAAACAATTCATTACAAGATAATGTTTGTATTACATTAAAGTAATGGCTAATTTCTTCTAGATCCGGTACTGTATACCTTAACATATCACTTGTTATGGATATAAGTGTTTATAAATTCCAATTACTTACCACTATTAATATTTTTAAAGCTACCGGGTATTGGATGAACGGAATCCTGAAATGTGGTTACATCAAATTTTTCTTTAAGGGCAGATGGACCAGCGAAAACTTTTTCCATTTCCGAGTCCAAATGAACTTCATTGGGATCTTCATTGCCACTTGACTGAAAGTAAAAGAAAGAAAGAAAATAAATATATGAAATAAGATTATATTGAAGTTTATAGTCTTATAACAGAAGTTACAGATCATCTATGTAGACAGAACCTCTAAGAAGACAAATAAAAAAATAGAACTATTTGGTGACTATGGCCGACCTTGTGTCTTGTAGAAGTTATAAAAATAGTACCAAATTTGTTTGCCACAGTGAATAAATTATTTCGCCACACTTCAAATAAATGTATTTTTTGGTACAATGTCATGTAGTAAAATTAAACTATCTCACTGTAGAAATCCGCTTTATCCGTTTTAAGATGACAAAAAACATTTAGTTTGTGTAACAAATTGTTTTTCCATTCGTTTGCAAATTTGTCGAAGTGAAACAATTTTATGGGGTTCGGCGCAGGTTCCATTTTATTATACCCTGCACCATAGTATGGAGGGTATATTAACTTCGTCATTCCGTTCGTAACTGCTCGAAATACTCATGTCATACCCAGGTGTCACTAGGCAGGTTATGTTCGAAAATCGGTCATGTCGCCCACATATAACGGTACCTTCATTTATTCGGCATTTTGATGATTTTAGCTACATTGTAGACCAGAATTGTTTCAAATTTCGTATTGCTAGATCCAAATGTGCACTACAACCTATGGCGAAAAATTTGCGAATGCAGGTCTACGTCTTCGTAAATCCCCACATTTTGGTATTTTAAAGTTTCAATTTTCGTATTTGAAGTTCGGAATCGGTATTACAGTCTATGACGTATTTTATGATTTTTTAGACATTATTCACCGGAATTGTTTCAAATTTTCGCATCAGATGTCTGGTTGAGAGAAATATATATGTATGCCCAGTTTGAATAAAACCATGACTTGTTTAGCACGTTATGAGATATACAGGGTGAGATGAAAAAACTGCAACCAACTTGAGACTGTTGTCATATCAAAGCCACTCGTTCGATAGCTTTTAAAATTATTCCAGTGACAGCTCATTATATTGTTTACAAGCGTACAAAAGCATTTTGGTGAGAATTTTCCAGAAAAAAAAGTTATTCGTGATGGAATTCAAGCGTGATAGTGTGATTTCTTTATATTTGGCTGGAAAACCACAAGTGGCTATCGCTAGAGCACTCCAGCATTTAAATGTAAATAAATGTTTTGTGTCTCAAGGAAGTCGACGAAAGAAAACAGCAACATCAGTAGAAATGGTTCGAAAAGTAAAGAAGCGACTTGGTCGACACCCGCGTCGCAGCGGCCGACAAATGGCTCGTGACCTGAACATATCGCATTATTCCATTCGGCAAATATTGAAAAATGAGCTGGGGGTAAAGCCATTGAAATTCAAAAAAGTGCAAGAACTTACACCGCAACAAAAAAGAAAATAGACTTAAAAGAGCTAAAGAGTTGCTTCGCTTGGCCGAAAGTGGTGAACTGCCGAATTTGGTTTTCTCCGATGAGAAAACATTCGTTGTCCAGCAGTTTGTAAACAAACAAAATGATCGTGTTATCTGGCCAAAGAGGTCAGCTGAAAATGTGCACCTTCGGTTGGCCACCAGAACTCAAACGCCGGCCACGGTGATGATGATGTGGTGATCATAATCAATGCCGAATATTATGGCGAAAATATTCTGGAGGGTGTATTAAAGCCTTGGGCACCCAAACATTTTTGCCACAAACCTTGGGCATTCAGCAAGCTCCCCCCAATAATGGTTACAAAATGAGGTTCCTCGCTTCATTCCAGCGCACAATTACCACCAAAATCTCTGGGCACCAATCCGTTGGACTTTTGTGTCTGGAGTATTTTGGAAAGCAAGGTTGGCACTAAAAAATACCAAAGTGTCGATCACCTCAAGCATCACCTCAAGCATAGCAACATTCGGGCAGCATGTGACGGTTTCATTGGCCGTTTGAAGGCCATAATTCGTGCCAAAGGTGACCAATTCGAACGAATCTAAACTTATTCTAAAATTTGATGGTATTTCCGACATTTTTGTTTCACCAATAAAATTAAAAAAAAAAACATTAAAAATTATTTCAACTGTAAGGTAACTAAAAGGCTTTTTTATTTTTTTAATAATATTTATTTATTATAATAATTATAAATAAATATTATTAACAATAAATATTTATTTATTATTTGGTGCAAACCAATTTAAATTCGGATATAGTTCTAATAGATTACTTCTCTATCCGATTTTAATTTTACTCATATTAAAATAATACATAATATAGGGTAAGTGTACCAATAGTCGGCACTTTTAGGATTTTCGCGTTTTTAATCGCTCACCATTCTGAGTGGAACTTTTCAATTATTACAAAGTTAATTTATTCAGATTCGTAATTTTGTATAGTTTTTGCAATAATAAATAAAGTTTTAATAACTTTTTATTAAATTTCATAAGTTTGTAGTTTTATTAAAACAATGCTTTTTTGCCAGTAGTCGGCACCACTTGCTAATTGTGTGGTATGGCATGATCCAACAGTCGGCATACCAATTTTTTTTTGTAAGAATAAATAATAATATTAATAAATTAATTTATTAAAACATAATATTTTTGTTTAATTAAACTGATTCGACATCTTTATTGAACTTTTCTTAAGAATATGGATTGTTGAGGACCTTCACAGACAAAAATTTAATTTTTATTAGAATAAATCATCTTTTCTTAGCGAAATTGTACACAAAGATAGCTGACAATATATTTGAAGTAAGCAAAATACATTTAGTTATAATAGTTTCATTTATTTGGGCTTAAAAATTAAAAGTGCCGACTTCTGAGACATGCCGAACTTAGGCACACTTACCCTATATAAGTTCTTTATTGTGATATGACAAATTCCCCCCATTGTCCGAAAATGCCTCAAGACAAACCCAACTTCAAGGTTTCCATCGTCACTTTCAATCTATTCGCAGCTAAGGATTTAACTAATCGTATAAACAAGTTTTTCTCTTAGTTAAGGTCATTCGGAACTTTCTGCTGTGTTATTCACACCTGGAAATAATTATTTTAGTACCTAGAAAGTATACTATCCGAATGGAAGGAACAGTTTATTTTCTTGTTCTCTTAATTTTTTTCCCCCTGCAAGAAATGCTATTAAGAAAACTTTTTGTTTCTACACCATAATTTGCTCAATATGGTGGATATTCTAATCGATAACTTAAAGTGAAGAACTTCTTCACCAATGAACATAGACACTTGTGTGTCATTTCTTGTCTTCTTTGTCGTCTTTTTGAAAATTGATTGAGTACTACATTCCATTAAGAAACTTAAATGATGGACTACAATGTGTCAATGTTAAAAATAGAAAGAATAATGTGCCTAATGGCCACGACTAAACATATTTTTTGTTCATGTCAATAATTTTGAAATTTAAGTGTTTAAAACAAGTGGAAAATAACATAGGAAAACAAACAAGTGTGAAAAATGTAAACAAAGGCTATGAAAACACCTTTCTGGAATATGGAAAGATATATATGCTGTAATAATATGGAAACCATTATATTAAAAACTAGTAAAGAAAGTCTTATTGTTGGGCGGGGCCGACTTTATGATATCCTACACCACTTTGCTAATTTAGTAGAGCTGCGCATAACAATTAAAAGTTTTTATGGGAGAATTCAATTATGCACGCTATGATTATAATTATAATTTAATGTTCAAAAGACTAAATATGCCGAAGCATAAAAATATATATGGGAGCTATATCCAAATCGGAACCGATCTCGATAAAATTTAGCAAAGATATTTCTGAGCTGTATTTGATATATTTCGCTGAATATAGTTGTTACGGAGTGCATATTACGGCTGTGGGTAACAAATATGACAAATCGGATGAACAGTATATATGGGAGCTATAGCTATGTCTGTACCGATCTTCACCAAATTTGACATACTAGCTTCTAGACTCAATTCGGTCGTAAGTGCCAAATTTCATCCCATTTGGGCAAATATTAGACGATTGGTGCACAATCCAAGGTAAAGCGGACGAAATTATATATGGGAGCTATATCCAAATCTGAACCGATCTCGATAAAATTTAGCAAATGTATTTCTGAGCTGTATTTGATATATTTCCCCAAATATAATAAAAATAACAAATCGGATGAACAATATTTATGGGAGCTACAGCTATATCTGAACCGATTTCGATCAAATTTGGCATACTTATTTTCAAGTCCAATCTGATCGTACGTGCAAAATTCCATACTATTCGGACTGATATTACACGTTTGGTGCACAATAAAAGGCAAATCGGACAAAGATATATATGGGAGCTATATCTAAATTTTGACCGATTATCTCCAATTTCAATAGGGTTCGTCCTTGGGACAAACAAATGATTTGTGCAAAATTTCATCTGGATAGGGCAATAAATGCGAACTGTACTTTGTTTACAAAAATATATGGACAGACGGACGGACGGACGGACATGCATAAATCGACTCAGAATGTGATTCTATGCAGATCATCAAAAGGAACTATGGGTCTATCTCGTTTCCTTTTGCCTGTTACAAATAAATGCACAAAGACATAATACCCTGACCACATTGTGGTGTAGGGTATAAAAAGTTAAAAAGTATCAGTAGGTTTAGCCGACAGATGTATGTAGACCAACCATTCCGACCAACCGTATCCAGAGATTTTGGTGGCCATTGTGCGCTGGAAATGGAGCGAAGAACCTCATTTTGTAACCATTCTTGGGTGACGCGTTCTGAGTGCGATGGTGCTGAGTCCTGTTGGAATGTTCAAGGTCTGCGGACAAAATGTTTGCCTGTCCAAGGATTTAATACACCCTCCAGAATATTACATAATACATTTATTCTGAGGCCACGGTCGATTAATACGAGTGGAGAGCGACCATCGGCTGTTACGGCGGCCCACACCATCACCATGGCCGGCGCTTGAGTTCTGGTGGCCAACCGAATGTGCACATTTTCAGCTGACCTCTTTGGCAAGTAAACACGATCATTTTGTTTGTTTACAAACTGCTGGACAACGAATGT